CACAGAGCTCGGCTCTGCCGGCATCACCACGTGGCGGTTCTACCCTCTACACCCCCTTCCTCATCCAGGCAGTTCTTCCTCATATCTCCCCCGATCTTTCCTGCTGTGTCAGCACAGACCTAAGCTGAAGCACCCTAGTTGTCTGCCGGGCTGACAGCAGCTTTAACTCAGGGAGATAATCCTACCAGCAATTAATTGGCTTTTGTTGGAGGAGAATGAATACCATCTCGTCTTAATCTTCTGCATTATTCTCCCTGTTCAGCAGAGTCAACACAAGATTAGGTTTAATTTGGGGGAAGGGGGAACAGCGGAGTCATTACTCACTAGATTAGATCCGATCTGTCTGGGTACCCTGTGCTCCCTAGGGGAGGGGCTTCGACAAAGGCCCAGGGCTCTGCTGGGGTGCAGAAACACAGGCACTCCCAAAGGCCGCCCCCAAGCTTTCTGGGTCCTATAAGTCCTGTAGGACTCAGGCTTGACTTTGATCCTGCCTAAACCGGCCAGGGCGGCACACGCCTGCAATCCCAGAACCCAGAGAAGCAGTCCTTCAAGGCCAGCCTCGGGCCACCCTGGGAGCCAGGAAAGCCTGTCTCAAAACAAAACAAAACATAACAAAAAACAAAAAACAAACAAACAAAAAAAAGTTGCATGGAGAGACCCATGGGTTGAGCCTCTGCAAAGCACAGCCCCTGAGGATGGGAACTCAAAGACCTCGACAAAAAGCCCAGCTGGGTTTTGGATTCAAATCTGTCTGATGTTGCCAGGCTGAGGACTGCCTTGATGATGCTGCCATCTGGTGGTGGTAAGAGGAATTGCCCTTTTCTCCTCTCAATGAAATCCATGTTTACAAGGCAAATCAGAAAATGAATTTAAAAAGGGAAGAGAATCTGGAGAGACAGCTCAGCAGTTAAGAGCACTGGCTGCTCTTCCAGAGGACCTGGGTTCAGCTCTCAGCACCTACACAGTAGCTCACAACCATCTCTAACTCCAATTCCAGGGCATCCGATGTCCCCTTCAGGTCTTCTTGGATATACACGGACGTACATGCAGGCAGAACACCCAATCACATCTAATTAATTACTTCATTAATTAATAACAAAGCTGCTAAACAGAGATGGTCATCAGGAATCTACAAGGAAATCCATTTACATCCTATTACCCCTTAATCAAAAGGCCTCAGAACCCCCGATGCTCATTCAAGCTGCCTGAGGTTGATTCCATGCCAGAACTCTCCCTCACCATCCCTGCCGTGTCCACTTCAGCCCCCAGCTCCTCCCTGCTCTACCTCCGGTGGGAGTGCGTGTCTGACCCTGCACTGTGGTGGCTTAGACTATCCCCGAGCTGAGGGCAGGACCCTTCCCCTATTCTCAGGAGCAACCAGCACATCTGAGCACAGCTCTCTCACCTATGACAAGGTTAACACCGCCAGCCGTCAGCCCCTATATCACATGGGAGACAAGTCTCAGAGCTTGTCCGTGAGGGGTTTCTAGACTGGGTTAAACGAGACGGGAAGCTGCTTGCTGAATTCAGGCAGCCCCATCCCAGGGCCTGCGGCTCCTGAAGGGGTAAAACGGAGAAACTGAGCAGGGAGCCAGCATCTGCCTTGCTCTGCTTCCTGACTGGGGATGCGGTTCTTCCAGCTGCCTCACATTCCTGCCTCCAGCCTCCAGCCTCCAGCCTCCAGCCTCATGCTGGTTGCTCCATGCCTTGGTGGACCGTGCCCTCACACTGTGAGCCTGAACAAGCCCTTCCTTTCCTTGAGCTGCCCTGGTCGGGAGCTTCGTCACAGCAACAGAACAGTAGCTGATACTCGTGCTGCAAGGGTGTCTCCCAGAAGGGGCCAGTGAGCAGGCAGGTGAACGTGAGCTCCTCACACGAAGGCTGGCATGGGGGTCCTCAGCAGACGCCTGTTGTCACTGCAGGCACTGCAGGTGACAGCAGCGCTGTCATTGTTACCTTCTGTCATCCAGGACTCCCTGGAAGTGTGATGTCATAAGCAAGACTGCAAACTGCTGGTGTCTGCTCCCTGATGCCCAGCAACTTCCTGTCCCCACAGGAAGCCCTGTTACCCCTTCTTCCTGAAATATTCAACCACATAGCACCGTGCAGCGTGTCCTCGGGAGATTCTCTTCGTCCCCACCTACACCTCTAAGCTCACGTCCAATTGTGTGCCCTCTGCTCCAGGCACGCTGGCTGCTTTTCTAATGTGTAGGTAAGTTCATTCCCAACCCCAGACCCCGAATCAGGAGGCTCACACCTACTGGTAATTTCCGCTCCAGAGGATCCGGCACACCCCTCAGGCACCCACACACACACGTGGCTTACTTACACACAGACACACGCATACATGCACATAAGGAAAACAAAATCAGTCTTCAGAATAATTTTTTTATCTTTTTTGTGATTGTTTCTGATTTGGGGTTTGTGGGTGTGTGTGGTTTGTTCTGTCCTGTTTTGTTATGTTTTGTTTTGTTTTGAGACAGGGTCTCGCTGTGAGCTCCGGCTGGCCTGGAACTCACTGTGTAAGATCTCGTCGGTCTCAGACTCACAGAGATCCACCTGCCTCTGCCTCCGGAGTGCTGGGATTAAAAACATATTCCGTCATGCCGAGACATTAAAGAGAGTAACTGTCCACCCGCTGCAGCTGTTCTGGCACATGCAGCTCTCGTGGGGTGCCTGGGGCGTAGGGAGAGCGCCATTTCGTGTTGGCTTCACTCTGGTTTACAGCCCTGTTTCTCCCTCTACGGTGTGTATTCCAGCAGAGGCTGACAGTCTGATCTTGGCCTGACACCTAGTAGGAACTCAATAAATACCAACCTCTTAGAAGAGACTGAGGGAACTCCCAGGCTCCGCTACCGAGAGCCCTTGGGTGCCACCTGCTGGCTGACTATGGAATTTTCCTTGAGGGACGCTGGCCTCCGCTCCCCCAAGAGGCTCCCCTCTGCCCTCCAGGGTGGGCCCAGCCCTACTGAGGGTTAACAATGAACTTGGAAGCGGAGCCTGGTGACACACACCTGTAATCTCAGCACTCTGGGAGGCAGAGGCAGGTGGATCTCTGTGAGTTCGAGAGCAGCCTGGTCTACAAGTGAGTTCACGGCACCAAGGCTTCACAGAGAGACCCTGTCTTAAAAAAAAAAAGAACTTGGATCACAGTTGACCAATAGGTACTGTATTTCTATGTTGATTCTGGGTGTCACTGGCCACCTTAACTATTTCATGTTAGGAGGGGTGGTGACAGTCCCTGCTCCTCTCTGAGTGTGCCCCAGGACCCAGGCATGCCACCTTCCCCAGCAACACTGACCTCTGACCCCCACATCTCAGTCAGCCAGCTGGTCTCTCTGAACTATTGAATTCAACGATCACTCCAGCCTGGCTCACCCTTCACCCAACTCCTAGGTCTCTTCTGTGGCTTCCTGCCTCTTGAGAAGCCATTTTGGCCTGGAGGCAAAAATCCAACCGCAATGCTTTGGGCTCTCTCTGAGCCACTGTGACCCCAGCTCTGCTTTCAGTCTGAGGTTTGGCGTACCTCCCGGTCAGGTGGCTCTGCATTTGTGTATACACACACACACACACACACACACACACACACACACACCAGTCCTTTGCCCTTAAAGCTCCATTTTACCTGTTATTCGTTTCAGCATAGGAGCTCATGAGGTCATGCCTCCTTCCATTATGCTGGGCCCAAGGCCCCCAACTGCTTCCTTTATGATTAGCAACTAGAGTGTGTGTGGACCTTGCCTTCCCCACAGACTCAGGATTCCCTTAGAAAGGACTGGGGCAAATGGGGGAACTAGAGAGATTGGGGTAGGATTGGAGAGATGGCTCAGTGGTTAAGAGCACTGTCTGCTCTCCCAAATAGACTCGGGTTCAATTCCCAGCATCCACACAGCAGCTCACAACTGTCTGTAACCCCAACTCCAAGGGATCTGGCACCTTCACACTATGCACATAAAATGAAATAAATTTAATTAAAAAAAAAGGGCACTTGCTCTTCACCCTATGTTCAGGTCCCAGCACCCACACCAGGCGGGTCACAACCACCTGTAATTCCATCCAGGCTTTCTGGTGCCTTCTCCTGCGGCACCAGCACAGACATGGCAAACAGGCACCTGTAGACTGGGAGGTCCTGAGACTTTGCAGCGATTAGACAGAATGTCTTCGCTTCAGGGCCCACAGGGCTCCAGGTTGCAGCCCTGGAATTTCCAAGGAAGAGGTGTCCATCAAGGCACCAGGGCAGGAAAGCCCCAGCTCAGGCAGCTGCCCCCACCTCACCGGCAGGTAGCACCAAATCTCAGAACAAAAGCACAGATGGGGCTCACAGCAGCTATGACAACAGTGACAAGACCCTTTTTCGCCGCAGTCAGCCTTAGAGCATTCCGGGAAGGGGCTAAGGTGTCAGAAAGTAAGTAGCCTAAATATATGGCTAGCACACGCTTTCCACTTGCCTACCCCTAAGTATGGGGCCAGGAGCCAGCTTCTGGACAAAACCAATCCGTCCGGCCAGGAAGGTTAGTATGAAGAGGGGATGAATGAAAAGAGTAGCCAAGATTCTTCATCCCAGTGCTTTCTAACACACACACACACACACACACACACACACACACACACACCACTGCCTTCCTCTCTAGGCCCAAGACAATGTGTGTCTAGCCCTTGGGGGCTACTGCCCCAGAGAGGGGTGGGAACAAGGCAGCGAGACATAGCCTAACTCTTGGGCCTGCAGGGCAGGCACCTCATGCTCCCTTACCAAGCCCTGTTGTGGATTCTGGGCAGCTTGGATGTCCTCAGGCGCCAGGCTCAGCCAGCCCCTCCTTAGTCTCACAATCCTAGCCTTTGTCCGCTGGCCTGCCCAAGTCCAGCTGGCCCCATACCAACCCAGGAGCCCCTGGAAACCCGAGCAGCTGGACTGCCACCAAGTACTTTTCCAGGCCGGGCCAGGGGCCTCAGGAGACAGAGCGATGGCGACGGGGGAAATATCCACTCATCTGCATTTTCATTATTTCCTTCTTTGAACAAATATTTATTGAGTGCCGACTTTGAGGCTGGCACAATGCTAGGTGCGCGGGATCCAGCAGCAGCCCCGTAACCCCCTCGGAATCGTACATTCTAGAAGCAACCGCTGTGGAGACGCCAATGGAAGCCTTCCCACAGTACAGCAACAAACATCCTTCCCTCCCCTAGGGGACCAGGCTGGAGGAAGGGGCGGGAGAGAGGCAGGTGCAAGGTGGACGAGGCAGGTGAGGATGCTACCAGCTAAATTAAGGCTTTTTTACCCCAGGCTTCTGCCCTAGAGGGTGGCTGGTGGGGGGAGGGGAGGTCGCTCAGGGTTCCACCCACACGCTACTGTTGGTCACCCGGGCCCCGAACCAGCCCTTCCAGTAGACCGAGTCCTGCCCTCCGTGCTCGAAGCGGACGAAGCGGACGCCCGGCCCGTAGTCGGTGAAGGTGTGGGAGATCTGGGGGTGAGAGGGTATTGCGTCAGCCTCAGGGGTCTAGGGCTGGCCCCGCCGTCCCCTCCCGGGCGCAGCACCCACCCCCCAGCTCGGACCGTGGGCCGAGCGTGGCGCGGCCTCCACCGGGCGGGGCCCGCACGAGCTCCGCCCAGGGCGCCCCCCGCCGGCCACCCCGCGGGGTCACCTCCGTCCAGCTGCCGTCCTCCGGCGCCGCCACCTGCCCGCTGCCGAACTCCGCCAGCACGTCCTCGTGCTCCGACAGCAGCCTCACCGTGAGCTCGTACAGGCAGCCGGCGTCCGTGCGGCCCGAGTACCTGCGGGGGGTCCGGGCGCGGGCCTCACCTGCCGGGCCTCGCGTTGCCCATCCCCCGCGGCCCCCGGCATCCTCGCCACTGTGCCCCCGGTCCCGCCCCCGGCCCGGTGTTCCCGCCTCACACATAAGGAAGCCGCGGCCGCAGAGCTGCTGGGCCCCGGAGCCAAATGCAAAGGCACCAGACCGAGCCTTGGAACCCAAGGCAGCCGAGGGGCCACACACACTGTTGGGGCTGTCACACGCACACAGATGGGGACACACGGCTACGTGTGTACGTGGAGGGGGTCAGCGGGCCGTACTTCATTAGTAGGACCCTTGCCTCGCCCAGGCGCGGGCACGCGCGCATTCGAGAACCTGTTAAAGGCTGGAAATAGCTTTCGTCGCCAGCCCTTGCAGGCCCATGTCCCACGTGGCCACCACACTGATGGCAAACGGCTTAGCCTCGCCGCCATCGCCATTTCCGCTTCCCTCCAGTCCTGACAACCACACACACACACACACGCGCACACACACGCACACGCGCGCGCGCACACACACACATGCACACACACACACACATGCACACGCACACAGACCCCGCTGCTCACCAGTCCTTCACCACGATGGCGGGCTGGGTGGTGTCCAGCAGCTCCTCCCAGTAGCCCGCAGCCTGCAGATCAATGACCTGCGCTTTGCGACACCACCTGGGGGGACAGGCGTCAGGATCCGGGGGGCCCCGCCTTCCCCCCCCCCCCCCCGGGCCCTGCTCCTTACTCGAAGGAGGAGGCGAAGTACTTCTGAACGCCGGCATCTTGGGTAAATTCCACCCCACTGTCTCCGGGCAGCTCCTCCACCCTCCAGCCGTCCCCACCGTGCTCCACGTCGCACCAGCCCTCCAAGTCCTCTGTGGGGACACGACAGCCCCACCCCGGTCACGCAGCCCCAGGGTCGAGGCCCCCGCGGGGCTGGCTCTCGCCGTGGCGACCCGAGCCCGCCCCGCCCCAGGTCACGGAGGGTGGGCGCCTCGGGGAACAGGGACGCTCAGGGCTGGACGTGGCGCCAAGCGCCGCATCTCCTTTAGCCCTGAGGCGGGCTGGCGCCGAGGGCCGGTTCCTAAAGGGGAACCACGGGCGGCCGGCGTGTGGCCTCACCTTCCCCGCACGGGTTGCGCAGCAGGTTGCGCCTCCTCTTGCTCAGAAAGTAGAACTGTTGCCAGTGGTCCCGCTCGTCGTCGGCGCTGCCCTCGTGCACCAGCCCCTCCTGCTGGCACTTGAGGAGCCACAGCGGGGCGCCGTCCACCAGCTCCTTCCAGCGCAGGCACACCAGGCGGCAGGCCTGCACCAGCTCGGAGGCGGGCAGCTCGGCCAGCACGCGCAGCAGCAGCGGCTCGGGCAGCTCCGCCAGGTACTCCGTGGCCTCCACCTCGTCCTCCTCCTCCCGCGCCTGCTCCTCCTCCGCGCTCGCCTCGGCGCCCGCCTCCTCCGGCTGCTCCTCTGGGGTCTCCTCTTCGGGGGGGCTCACATTCTCTGAGGAAGGGAAAGCTGTGACTCCCAAACCGTCCCCCTCCAAGACCGAGTGGACCACAGTGGGGGGCCGGACGGTCTTAACCGGTACTTGCTGGCGCTCGCCTATAATCCCAGCACTTGGGAGGCAGAGACAGGCCCATCTCTGTGAGTGTGAGGCCAGGATGCCATACTGAGTTCCAGAAAGACTACACAGTAAAACTGTTTATCTCTGCCTGTCTCCCATACAGTTCTGTGGCCCTAAGCTGTGCCCAGGGAGGAAGACCACCCCAGAATACACACCCACAGACACTCCTCCTAAACCAAAAGAACTGCTTCAGCCCCAGCTTCCCCCGCAGGGCTGCTAGGCACTCATAGGAAGCTGGGATTACTGTCAGGTCTTGTGCTGATGGGTCATTTCTCCTAAGCACCCTCCCAGCCCCCTGGGTCTCTCCCCTCCGCTGGGGAGCCTTCCTGGACATGGCTTTAGCACACCCTCTCCCGGCTCAAAGGCATCCAGGGGCTCCCTAGCTTGTGTTTCCGATCTGGCTGTTTGATAAACGCCTCTGTGTGCAGTGGCCCGACCTGGAGAATCCAGCCTGGGTGACACTACTTCCCCCCTGGTGCCTTGCCCCCAGCGCAGCGCCAGGAGCTACTGTGTTTTGCCAAGCCATGCCCTCCAGGCTGGGACAGCGAGGTGACAAGATCAGGAACAGACAGCTTATAAGTAGTTGGAGCCTGTGTTTGAACTCATTCAGTCCAGCCCAGAAGCCGCTTTACCAGCCACGGCGGTACCAAAAACCTCTGTTGAATTATGAGTCTGGTCTTGGTTTTGCTATTGTGGATGAAAATGCTCAGCTGTAACATGAAGGGACTTGGTGTAGGTCCACTGGCAGTATTAGGGTAGGGGACTCAAGGATCAGGGTGGGGAGAATGGGGTGGGGATCAGGCCGTCCCCAGCCAGGTGGGGATGGAAAACCAACAGAGAGAGAGGTTCTGGGTATTGAGGAAGAGTCTTTCCTCCCTCCTTTCCTATCCCTCACCCTCAGTCTCCTCATCTGTGAAACGAGGCCAGCGTTGCATCAGATTCATACTGATACTCATCCCCTCCCAAAAGAGGAGCAAGGCAATAGGGCTACTCTCGCTGTCAGGGAAACTCGTGGCCCCGTGGTGGGGGCTAGCACCAGGGAGGAAGCAGTTTCCCGGCTGGGTTCTTGAGGTCCGTCCACTGAGTGCTAGGGACGGCGTGGGCGTCTGGGTTGTCACTTGGATCTCGGCCTGCCTCATCTGGGCCATGGAAGCCTTGAGTAAGCAGACACTGAGTGATCGGCATCGCTGAAGGAGAGAGAGCCAGTGGGGAGGGGGCCCGGCCACCCTGGGAAATGGAGGCCGCCTCTCTCAGAGTTCCTGAGGAGTGGACCCTGAAGAGCCAAGGCAATAAGAGAGCAGGCTTGTGTCAGGGGAGGGGACAGGTGGCCTCTATTGCGATGCCACCAGCATCACCAACACTATCAGGCACTGGAAAGCCAAATCAGGATTTCCCCCTCTTTCTTTAGAGCACACAGTGAATTTCCCATTGGTGAGTCCGCATCAGCCATGGTGAACCCTACACACACACACACACACACACACACACACACACACACACATACACACAGCTTTCCCTGCATTTCTAACATGTTTGGGTCACATTTTCCTATGTAGGGGTTTACTCCTCCATTGGCGATGAGGAAACCGGGCCTCAGAGAAAGACCTAGCACTTCTCCCAGGTCCGCCACAGGCCATCATCAAGCAGGGAGAAAAATAATTGTCCGTCCTGCTTCCCACAGCTCTCTAGAGAGCCGGGCCCAATGTCCTCACCACCCCAGCCCTACCCTGGCCCCAGCAGATACCTGATGCTCCCCAGAACGCTGCTCTTCACTCAGCCCTCTCTCCTGGCCCCTAGGCCTGGCATTGAGGCCGCGTATCCGATTACAGCCCCCCCAACCCTGCTCCCTCGCACACAACTTGCCACATTGTTGCTGTAGGAAAGTTATCTAGGCCTGGATGCTGACCCCACGCTGACTCACACTCACCTGGACTGGGCCCCTGAGTCCAGGGACTTCCTGGGCCCTGGGAGAAAACAGCAGCCTATTCTAGAGCCTTGTGGATGACGTCGATTGGGGTCACTGACTGAGAGTGGGGCTACAGGAGTTGGGGGGACAGAGACAGAGGGAAGCCTGGCCCGCCTTAGGAGGCATCTGTTCCCTCGCCTCCCCTAGAGAGTGACCACTCCAAGGTGGCTAGTTTGGAAGGGGCGAGGGTCACGGCAGGCAAGTCTGCTCCCCAGCCTGACTCAGCAAGCAACCTCCTACAGGCCCTTTAGGGAGCTGGAGCGGAGAAGGGGTGGGGTCTTTGGTGCCAAAAAAGATGACTGGGCAGTCCTTGAGGCCCCAGAGGATCTGCCAAAAGCAGCCTTCCTCACCCTTAGCCTGGTCCCCAAGGAGCAGCCGGCTACCCCGACACAAGGCGGCCCTCCAAAGGAGGGAGTCCCTCAGGAAGCTAGGATAAATGCAGGGCGAGACGTGTAAGCCCTAGGACCGCGAGAGGACCCGCGGAGACTCGTGAGGCAGGGAGGGCAGAACTAGCAAATGGAAGAAGTTGATGGAAGCAAAAGCTTGCAAGAAGCCAGCTCTCAGACCCCAGGAAGTCTGGAGCCTGACACACCAGGGTCCTCCCGCTCCATTTTGGAGACCCAGGCATCTACCTCCCTCCACATCAGGACACAGCAGAAACCTGCTCCCTAGACTGTCTCCAGGGTTTTGCGGGCGCGAAAGTTTGAGCACCGTCTGAGGCGCTCGTCGGCCCTGCCTCCCCGGGCTGGATCGAGCAGGTCCAAGCAGCTGATACCTGGATCACCATCTCCATCCATCGCTGCGGTGCGGTCGACAGAAAGGAACCGGTGCGCGGCGGGTGGCGAGTCCTGGAGCTGCCCGCGTCAGCCGGGTCCGAGCTGCCGCGCCTCTTAAAGGCCCCGTGCGCCCCGCCCCGCCTCTAGCCCTGAGCTTGGGGCCACGAGCCCCGCGCCCCCGGAGCAAGAGGTGCGGCTTCCGGGAGGAGCCGGGGACTGGAGAAGGCCGGAGGATACCACGGGATGGGTGGGCGCCCCGTGCGCCCGAAAGATGACGAGATGACTGCAGGAGGATAGCAGGGGTCGGGCACCTGGGGAGCAGAGGGTGTGGGCACCGGGCCAAGCGGAGTCAGGGGTATCGGCGCCCTCCCGCCCCCACCGCTAATTCTCCTACGCTGCGGTGGGAGCGCGTCCCGAAAGCGAGCGTGGGAGGCGGGGCCTGGGGGGATGGTGGGAGGGGCCTGGAGGGCAGTGGGCGGGGCCGCATCCCGGGCCAACTCTGGCAGAAAGGCGCAGTTCGAAGACCCAGCGTGGTAGGGCAGCCAGGCAAAACGCAGGTGATAGAGAAAATGGGGTGGGGCGGGGGCGTGGTCTGACAAACAGTGGGAGGGTCGCACCCCGATCCTCCGTTGGCCCGAGTGGCGCAGCCCCAACAGCTGAGGGTATGGCGCAGCACGGTCAAACGCGGGGGTACCAGGAGAACGGGGAGGGGGAGGAGCCAATGTTGTAGGACGGGGTTGGGGCGGGGTCTGGCGACCGGTAGGTGGGGCCGTGTTCTGGGCTCTGTTCTATGGCCCGGGCGATCCCGCAACACGGCCAAGGGCAGGTGACAGCAGGAAGGGGACAGTGAGCGCCCTGGCGGGGAAAGGACCGGCGAGTAATGGGCAGGTCTGCATCCCCGGGCACGTAGGCTCGGGCCGCACAGCCCAGTAGCCTGGCAGGATTGCTCAGCTCGGCAGATCGCAGGTGACTGCGGGGGGCGGGGATGCACAGCGCAGGGACGGAGACGCAGTGGGCAGAGGTCTAGCGGGGCCGGGGGCTGGGGGGACGAGGGCCTCTGCGATCCTGGGGGCCCAGCGCCTTTAAGGCCCAGGCCTCGAGGCCTGCCCCCACTGTACTGTGAGGCCTAGAGGACCTGGGCTGGGGACGCCATCGGCGCTCAGAGGTCTGACTCTCGTCTTGAGCCTGTTTTAGGGCCACGCATAACAAATGGGAAACGGCAAAGGCCCTGGGCAGTGGCGGGCAGCCTCGGGCTGGAGCCCAGCCACCGGGTGCGGGAGGGAGACGGGAGGCTCCTCTCCACTCACACACACCTTTCCCCGGCCTCAGGTAAGCAGGTCATATTCTCTGAGATCTTGAGAACGTCACTGAGCCTTTTGTATTCCGTGACCGGTCCTGAGAGATAGTGATAAGCGCCCTTCATCATCTCTCCCCTTTCCCTGCGTGGGGGATGGGGGAGATGAAGGGTTGCGGGCTGGAGTGCTCACAAGGCTTCCCATTGTTAGCCTCCTCTTAAAACACTGCTGGCCTGCTGAAAAATGGCTGGCTCTACACTCAGTGAGGGCCAGGGCAGCCTCCCGCGCCGCTCCTGTCCGCGTGACCTTGGGAGGCGCCTTAGGCCTCCTTCGAGGCTGTCCTTGGGTGCCGGGGGTTGGGGAAAATCAGATCTCATCATTTATTAAGCAACTCCCTAGCCCAAGCACCTGAGTTGCCGGTGAACCCGGAGGGAAGTACTGTCCCGGGCCCTGTTTACCAGGAGGAAACTGAAGGTCAGAGCAGCTCAGCGGCTGGAGAAAATCCGTGGGCCGCAGAGCCAGGAATCCCGCTCTCCGCGGTGCTGGAGCTGCCACGTGCCCGGGAGAAGGCGGGGTGTCCAGCGCGGCTCCCCTGTGTCCGGCCTCCACAGGAGCGGGCCGCGAGCCACCGCCATGACCGTGGCCAACATCAACGAGCTGCCGGAGAACATCCTGCTGGAGCTGTTCACCCACATCCCCGCCCGCCAGCTGCTGCTGCGCTGCCGCCTCGTCTGCAGCCTCTGGCGAGACCTCATCGACCTGGTGACCCTCTGGAAGCGCAAGTGCCTTCGGGAGGGCTTCATCACCAAGGACTGGGACCAGCCTGTGGCTGACTGGAAGATCTTCTACTTCCTGCGCAGCCTCCGAAGGAACCTCCTTCACAACCCCTGTGCGGAAGGTGGGTGCAGAGGGAATCCGCCCCCCAGGACCCACGCACGCTCTGTAAGGTGGCCAGCGCACGGCTCCTAAACACCAGCTGTGGGGTACGGCCTTTACTCCCCTCACAGTAATTCTTAGTAGGTACTGTTGACGCACTCTCTTTTCCATGTGTAGACTGAGGTCAAGGGTACTTTTTAGTATGGATTATTTCTCATCTGGGTAGAGGGCACACACCTGTACTCGCAGCACTTGGGAAGCAGACACAGGAAGATAAGTTCAAGGTCAGCCGTTAGAGGCCAGTCTGGGCTACATAAGACTGTCTCAGAGCAAACCAATTACTTCCCAGCACTCGAAAGACTGAGGCAGGAGGATCATGAGTTTGAGGCTAGCCTCTCCTAAAACCTTTCCTAGGAATGGCGGCCAGCTGGAACAGATTGTATCAAAGACGCTAGTTGAAGCCACATTCAATTGTCTTTACTTACAGAACCCCCAGGTTAGGCCTATAGGGAATGTCCCAGAATGGGTCTTGCCTGTGGATGGTTGGGGTTGGGGGCGTGAAATCCCCTTTGTGCTCAAGAGCAGCTCAAACACAAGGCTTCTAGTCGCCTTGACCCTTCCGGTCCAGGCAATGCTGCAACCAAAGATAAGGAACCGGAGGAAGGAACTTGTTTTCTGTTGCATGGTCAAACCTCAGGACAAGTGGTGAGGAGGTGAGTCCAGGCTGCCCAGAGCCCCCAGCTGCCTGCCTGTGCCCTGTGACTCCCCATAGGCATGCTGCTCGCCAGCGCAGGGCAGACTACAGCCCAAACCCAGACAATAGGTTGAGAAGAGTTTTATGGTTCAGTTCAGTCTGGCTTGGTTTGTCTGGGGAGAATGATGACACAGGATCTCCATTATTACAACACAGGTAGCTCTGGCTGTCCTGGAACTCAGTATGTACACCAAGCTGACCTTGAACTCCTAGAGATCCACAGGTCTCTGCCTCCCAAGTACTGAGATTAAAGGCATGTACTACCATGCCTCGCTGGGTTTTATTTTCTGGTTTTTTGTTTGGTTGGGTTTGTTTTGTTGTTGTTTGTTTGTCCAAGACAGGGTTTCTCAGTGTAGCCTTGCATGTCTTGGACTCCTTTTGTAGACCAGGCTGGCCTCGAACTCACAGAGATCTGCCTGCCTCTGCCTCCCTGAGTGCTGGGGTTACAGGTGTGCACCACTGAGGAGGGGGCTGGGAGGGAATGCTTTTAAAGGATTATAAAAATAGAAACAAAAAACTATGTTTATGGCTGAAAACCTAAGATATGGTACTCCGCAGAAAGTTTCCCAGCTTTTTCTTCTGACATTTATTTATATATGTATTAGGTATGTGTGGTGGGGGAGCTGTGCACCCTACTGCACATACGTAGAAGTCAGAGGACAACTTGTGAGGGTCCAGTTTCTCCTTCCACCTCGTGGGATCCCAAGATGCCCACCTCAGGTCATCAGGCTTGGCGGCGAGTGTTTTACCTGATGAGGCCTTTGCTGACCCTGTTTTTGCTTTTTTGAGACAGGGTCTTGCTAACTTGTTATGTAGCCCTGTCTGACCTGGCACTCGTTGTGTGGCCTTAGACTGGCCTTCAGCTCACAGCAATCCTCCTGCCTTGGCAGGTGGATGCCACCACAAATTAGCCTCTATGCTTGACTCTAGCTAGCAAGAGGACCAAGGCTCAAAGAAGGAAAGTAACGTGTCTGTGGCCACATAGCCCACTACTGCTGGGGCTGAATAAGATTCAAGTCTGTCTGCCAGGCCATTCTCCATCAGAGAAGGGGTCTGGTCATCCAGGACCCTCAACAGAAGTCTCTTTCCTACAGCCAAGGCACACAGGAAGCACCCAATGAGCTACCTACAATGACAAAGCATGGGGCTGGAGGGCAGCTTGGAGGTCCCAGCTCTGAGAGGGAGGAGGGGTGCATGGAGAAGGTGCCCTGAGGAGGCTCCTGCATGCTGCTCTGTGCTCTCCCCACAGAGGGCTTTGAGTTCTGGAGCCTGGATGTGAACGGAGGTGATGAATGGAAGGTGGAGGATCTCTCCAAAGACCAGCGGAAGGAATTCCCCAATGACCAGGTCAAGAAATACTTCGTGACTTCCTATTAGTAAGATCTAGGGCCCTCAGGGTGGGGGGGCCCACGTCCTATCCTCAGGGTTCAGTGCTGAACTCCAGCCCCTCCTCCCCCCTCCCCCAGCACCTGCCTCAAGTCCCAGGTGGTGGACCTCAAGGCTGAAGGGTATTGGGAGGAGCTGATGGACACCACCCGGCCGGACATCGAGGTCAAGGACTGGTGAGTGCTGGGGCGAGGGTCTGGGGGGGGCCTGCCGCCCAGGCGCCCCACCCCTGCCCTGCCCCCCACCCCCCAGGTCCTCACGGGCTGTTCTTCTGTCTGCAGGTTCGCAGCCAGGCCAGACTGCGGGTCCAAGTACCAGCTGTGTGTCCAGCTCCTGTCGTCAGCCCACGCACCACTGGGAACCTTCCAGCCAGACCCAGTGACAATCCAGCAGAAGAGCGATGCCAAGTGGAGGGAGGTATGTGGGCAGGGACCCCACAGAGACCTGCACTCAGGCCCAAACTCTGCCATCTCTCACCTGGGTTTCCGCTGCTCAGCCTCACTCACTGTAGTAGAACAGGACTAAGCTTCCAGCTCAGACATCAGGGATGGAAAACATGGAGCTAACACAGCTGCTTTTTCAGACAGACCCACCATATGCAAAAAAAAAAAAAAAAAAAAAAAAAAATCCAGAAAGACTGGTAGACTGATTGCCTGGCACACAGAAAACCCTGTGCCCCATCTCCAGTACCGAGAAGTAAATTAATAACTTTTTATTTCTCTGTAATGAGTAAATAACTGGGCTTGAAGACATGCCCTCAGTAGTTCACTATGTTTTTGCTCTCGCAGAGGACACAGGTTCAAATCCTTGTACCCACATGGTGGTGCAAACCGTCTGTAACTCTGGTTCCAGGGGATTCAATCCCCTAAGTCCTTTGCAGGTGCCAGGCACAAACATAGTTCATATACATACACGCTGGCAAAACACTGATATACATAAAAGAAAATGAAATCTACTGTTCTAACATATGTAGAAAGGCAGTGGTGGCCCTTGTCTTTAGTCCCAACACTTGGTAGGCAGAGGCAGCTTGGTCTCTTATGAGGTTGAGGATAGCCTAGTCTACAGAGCGAGTTCCAGGATAGCCAGGGCTACACAGAGACACCCTGTCTTGAAAAACTAGATAGATAGATAGATAGATAGATAGATAGATAGATAGATAGATAGATATTGTGTAAGCAGAAATGCTCAGTGCTGGGAAACTGAGGCAGCAATGGGGAAAGGCTAGCCTGGCAATTTAGGGAGACCCTGTCTCAAAATTAGAAACCATGAAAAAGAGGGCTGAAGAGAGCTGGTGTGCCTACCTAGCATGTGCTGGCTCAACTTCCAGTATCATAGAAAAATAAAATAAAAATGTGCAGGGACAGCTGGGCGCTGGTAGCACATGCTGTTATTCTCAACAGTGGGGAGGCAGAGGCAAGTGGATCTCTCTGAGTTCAAGGCCAGCCTGGTCAACAGAGTGAGTTTCAGAACAGCCAGGGCTACACAGAGAAACCCTGTCTCAAAAAAACTGGGAAATAAATTAAATGATCAGAGCCGGCTATGGTGGCTCATGCCTGTAATCCCAACACTTAAGAAGTGGCTACAAGAGGATTAGAAGGCCATATATAGAAATTTCTAGAACAACAGGTGTCAAACTCTGTCTAAGGAGGAAAGAAAGAAGAAGAAAAAGAAAATATTCAGCAGGTGTGACTGATCTCAATATTAATACCTATCATTTCTACAGAGTCCCCATCTAATTTTTATGATTTATTTATTTGTATTTTATGTGTATGGGTGGTTTGCCTGAATGTATGTGGAACACATGCATGCAGTGCCTGAAGAGACCAGAAGAGGGAGCCAGAGCCCATGGAACTGGAGTTACAGAAGGGTGTGAGTTGCCATACAGGTGCTTGTAATTAAACCCTGATCCTCTGAAAGAGCAGCTAGTGCTTTTAACCACTGAGCCATCACGCTTCCCCCTCAACCTAAATCTTACTTTATGTAAGTGTGGGACCATCTGGATTTACCAGCATTCTACTCAGAAAATCTTCCTTCCTTCCTTCCTTCCTTCCTTCCTTCCTTCCTTCCTTCCTTCCTTCCTTTCTTTCCTTCCTTCTTTCTGTGGGAGGCAGATTGGTTCAAGGCAGGCTTTCTCTGTGTAGTCTTAGCTGTCCTGGGACTCACTCTGTAGACCAAGCTGGCCTTGAACTCAGAACCCAGAGATTGGTCTACCTCGGCCTCCCTAGCGCTGGGACTAAAGGTGTGCGGCTCTCCCACTGGCAGAATATTTTTTTTCCAATGGGTGATGGGTTTATCAAATCTTCAGTTTAGCTGGATTCAGCATATGGTAGGTCTGTCTGGAGAAGCCACTGTATTAGCTACAGCGTGGTCACACTTGTCTTTCTTTCCTTTATTTATTTGGTGGGATTGGATACAGAGCCTAAAACCTCACACATGTGGCAAGTGTTTTACCGCTGCGGCCAGATACAAAGCCCAGTGTGGTGACTCAAGCCTGTACTACCAGTACTTCAGAGTCTGAGCAGGGGCATTGTTGTACATTGCAAACCAGTTTGAGCGCTTTTTGTTTGTTTGTTTGTTTGTCTGTTTTGTCGGTGGTGATGCTTTTGTTTTTGCTTTGAGTCTTCCAAGACAGAGTTTCTCTGTGTAGCCTAAACTGTCCTAGAACTCACTTTGTAGATCAGGCTGGCCTTGGACTCCAGAAATCTGCCTGCCTCTGCCCCCTACATTGAAGGGGTGCTGGATTAAAGGCACCACCAGTGCCCAGCAACAGTTTGAAGTTTCTGTTTTTGGGTTTTTGTTATTGTTATTTTGTTTGAGTTTTTTTGTTGTTGCTGTTGCTGTTGTTTTTCAAGACAGGTTTCCCTGTGTAGTCTTGGCCGTCCTGGACTCACTTTGTAGACCAGGCTGGCCTCGAACTCACAGTGATCCACCTGCCTCTGCTTTCCAGAGCGCTGGAATTAAAGGCATGCGCCACCATACCCTACAGTTTGAAGTTTTGTTGTTGTTGTTGTTTTGACACAAGGTGTCTCTGTATAGTCCTGGCTGTTGTAAAACCCAATATGTAGATCAGGCTGTCCCAGAACTTACAGAGTTCCTCCTGCCTTTGCCTGGAATTAGTGATGTGAGTCATCACACCTGGCCAGTTTGAGTTTCATGGTTAATCCCAGGCCTACTTAGGCCACAGAGACCTGGTGTTAAAAATAAATAAATACATAGACAAGCAAACAAATAAAACATCTGGGCACGGTGGAGTGTGGGGAGGCAGAGGCAGGTAGATCTCTGAGTTCAAGTTCAGCCCTATCTACACAGCAAGTTCTAGCCAGCCAGGGATACATATTAAAGAAATAGATAGATAGATAGATAGATAGATAGATAGATAGATAGATAGATAGATAGATAAGTACACCAGCAACAACAAGCCAGACAGTGGTCTTCCAGATAAACAGCTCTAGAGGAAAAGGCACTGGCGTCCAGCCTGGGGACCTGAGTTTAGTTTCTGGGACCCGCAGAGTGGAAAGAGAGAGCCGACTCTAACGAGCTGTCTTCTGACTGCCACACGCGCACTGTGGAATGCATCCACATGCACACATGCACAGTAAATAATGTGATGTTTTAAAGTTGCTTAAGGCACACAGGAGGGCCTCAGAGGCAGCCCAGAGGCTGAGAGAACTTGCTGCTCTTACAATTCGGTTGCCAGCACCATGTCAGGTGACTCACAACCACCTATAACGCTGACTCCTGCGCCCTCTTCTGGCCCCTGTGGGCACTGCACTCACATGCATGAACATACATACACAGAGATCCAAACATTTCTCTGTCACAAGGACTGGCCTCTCAGCTATGCTGCTGATGTGGGAAAGCGGCTTTAGATAACAAGTGGTTCCTGTCCCTGTTCCAATAAAACTATTAACAAAAGCATCAGAAGGTCAGGCCCTGGTGTAAACAAGTCCTCAGCCAACTGCCGCAGGGTGAGGTGAACCTGGAGTAAAACCCAGGCCTTCCTAGGCCAGTAACTTGTGGTTCTTTATTTTATCTAATTTTATATTTCTTTCTGTTTTGATTTTTCTGACACAGGGTCTCATGTAGCCCAAGCTGGTCTCCGACTTGCTACATAGCAGAGCAGAGGACATCTTGAGCTTAGGCTCCTCCTGCCTCTACCCCGCCCCCCAACTATGGGTGTTCCCCACCATGCCTGAATTATGTGGTTCTGAGGATTGAACTCAGGGCTTTGTGCATTTTACTCTATAGAGCAAGCACTTTGCTGAACCACAGCTCTTTTGTTGTTTTCTGACAGGGGCCCTCTAAGATAATATGGAGCCAGAGACGGCCTTGAACTTCTGATCCTCTGGCCTTCATCTCCTGAGTGCTAGAATTAGAGGCATGTGCCGTCATGGTGCTGGGGTGAAACCTAAGCCTCCAGCGTGCTGCCCTCGCTCTGCATCTGCACCCCCCAGCTCTACTGCTGCTGTTCTTTAAAGATTTGTTTTTATTTTATGTGTATAAGTGTTTGCCTCTGTGCCTAGAAGGCCAGAAGAGGGTGTCAGACCTCCTGGAACTGGAGTTACAGGTGTTTGTAAGCTGCCGCGTAGGTGCTGGGAATGGAGCCCTGGTCCTCTACGAGAGCAGTCAATGCTCTTCAACATTAGTCATCTCTCCAGTCCCCCCCCCCCCCGCTTTGTTTATTGAGACAGGTCTTGGGTAGTGTCCCTGACAGCTCCCTTCTGCCTTCGCCTCCAGGTTTCACACACGTTCTCCAACTATCCTCCCGGCGTCCGCTACATCTGGTTTCAGCACGGAGGCGTGGACACTCACTACTGGGCCGGCTGGTACGGTCCAAGAGTCACCAACAGCAGCATTGTCATCGGGCCCCCGCTGCCCTGATGCCCCCTGAGCCCCTATCCTCGGAGCCCTGATTGGTAAACAGTCAGAAAGGGCCAGGCTTGGGAAGGGGAGGTGGAAGTCAGGCCCTCCCAGACCTCACTGTCAGCCCTTGCCCCCAGCTGCCTCCTCTGTATGGAGCCTCTAGTGTCTGGGCCACCCTGCTCTCTCCAGATGCCTCCAGCAAGCTCGGCCCACGAAGAGGTACAGCGCCTAAGGCTAGGTGGATACAAGACATTTCCATACTTTACCAGAGAGAGGACCCAAGCTCGGATGCTTGCCCAGACCTGTCTCTACCCCCAACCCTACCACCTTCCTCCTTGTTCTCCTTCAGGGTCTTAGATCGGGGACAGACAAGGTATCTGACAGGACTGCAGATCTGGGATAGAAGGCTCTGCTGGCCAGTCCTTACTCAACCTGTGTGTCAGCTGTTGTATGCTCTCTCTGCTTTGGCCTACAAGTCAGGCCTGGTACCAGATAGGCAGGTCGGACCAGATTGTCCTTGTCATCAGCAAAACCCCAAAAGGCTGGACGGATAGGTACCAAAGAGTGCAGGGCTCCACAGAGGATGAGCCCCAGCTTCTGAGAGCTGGGATGGGGAAACAGGAGAAGGCTGTTCTCTGGGAAGTTCTCTGTGGCTTGGAGGTGCCTGAACCCTGTATGAGCTTCCATCACACACCATCCCGTGACCCCAGCACCCCAACTTCCCTCTTACTGCACAGCCAAATAAAATGTTTCCCAGCCTCCTTGTGCCCCGTGGCTTTGGAGGGAAGGGTGGGTTTGAGGACAACCCTGCCAGGCCCTAAGAAGGCAGGGGTGTGGCTGCTGCCTATGCCATGGAGAAGGGCTGACCGTTTCAGAAGTGCGGCCATGGCGGCCCCCAGCCCAAGGGGCAGAGCCCTCGGAGCAACAGGCCTCCTGCCCTCCAGGAAATCATGGTGGGTTTCCCTGTGCAGCCCAAGCAGGTTGTGCCTACTGCTGTCCCCTTGCCCAGAGCCTTCCTGATTTCGATTGAGCCTAGCACAGTGGGTGCTCAATGCTTGGCAAAGTGAATTATCTCACTCAACAATAAATAGAAGGGCCAGAGTTCACAGCCACCTACCTGGACTAGAATCCGTGAACTCCCCTTGAACTATAGTCAGCTTGCACAACCCCTGAAGATTCCCTCGGATAGGCAATTGATGAATGTCTGAGTTAATTAATTAATTTTGACTAGGACCTTAGAGTCCCTCAAAACCCAGGAAGAAGCTGGACACAGGTGCTGACACTGCCATTTAATCCTGGCACTCAGGAGGCAGGGGCAGGTAGGTATCTAGGCGTTCAAAGCCATCCCAGTCTACAGAGAGAGTTCCCGGACGGCCAGGGCTTGGTAGGAAGAGCCCGTCTCAAAAAAACAAGAAAACTCACCAAGCAGAACTCCGGTCCTACTGGTGGTGGAGGTGGGGGCAGGCGGAGGTGTGTGTCAGGGACTAGATTCTAGGTGACGCTTCCTTCGCAGGAGGAGGAAGCCGGGCCTACCGGGAGCCGGCTGCTCGGCCGCATGTTGCCTGGAGGGGGAGACGGAGGCCCAGGAACCCCGGCCTGTGGAGCCCTGGCGGCGGCAGCGTGCCGGGGGGAGCACCCTAGGACCCCGAGCTCGCCTTCGCACTGACGCGGACGGCCGCCGGTCGGTGCGTGACGCGAGGGGGAGGCCGGGCCGGGGCGGGGCGAGGCGACAGACGACCGAGTCGCCCAGGTCCAGGCCCAAGGCCCGGCAGCGCTGCGGCCGCCCGGTACCCAGGTCGCCGCCGAGTGGGGCGGCGGGGGCGGCGGGCGGGGCCGGGAGGGGGCGGCGGTCACGCGCCCGTGGGGAGGCTCAGGCCAGGCGCGGCCGGTGCTCCGAGTCCGGCGCGGGGACGCCGGGCCTGCTTGTGCGTGCGTACGCGAGGGTCCGGGACGGTGGCGACGCCGGCTTCTCCTGGGGACAGAGGGCTTAAGGCGCTAGGATAGGACGCTGCACGTGAACGGGCCACAGCCGGGAGTGGATTTTTCCACCAAGGCACGGCAGGGGCACCGCGATCTCCCTTGCAAGGTGGCTTGGCTGTGGGTGAAAAGTGTCACTGGCGTAGAATACCATCTCGGCCTTCAGGAGTTGCCCACATCTTTTAAGCCTCAGAGTTTACTTGGTTTTAGTTTTGTTTTCCCCGTGAGGATGGAACCCAGGGCCTCCCAAGTGCTAGATAAGCATGCTACCACCCGGCAGCCCTCCCTCTGAGGAGGAGACATTTGTGGTCTTCCCCTGATAGGCAAGCATCCTGCCAAATGAGTCAGAGGCCCAGCGCTATTTACTTCGTGTACTTTGAGACAGGGTTTAGGTGGACCAGGCTGGGCCGACAATTTCAAACTTCCCGTACCTCTATCTGGAATAATGAGGGGAGGTGCCTCCACGCGATCTTATTATCATTTTTAATTGTTGCATTTTTCACAGACATTTAAAAATTGTAAGCATTTAGAAGACTCTGTCACACCATCTGCATGCACCCTCTCCTCTCTAGCTAAGCTTTCTGTTTTGCTTTTGGTTTTTCGAGACGGGGGTTTCTCTGTATAGCCTTGGCTGTCTTGAAACTCACTCTGTAGAGGCTGGCAGGGAACTCAAGAGATCTGCCTTTGCCTCCTTAGTGCTGGGATTAAAGGCGTGCACCACCACCTCCCCGGTATCCTCTGTTCCACGACAGGAGCCCCAACAAAACTTGCAAGGAAGACTCTAAAAATCCAGGAAAAGCCCCAAATTTCTGTTTCCAGGAAAGTGAGTGGGAAATTTTCCCTCAGGCTTAGGCAGGTGTGGTCACTCAGCCCACCCCCACACCTGGGGCAGGTCCCCCGGGGTAACAGCCAGACACTCCCAGCCTGGCCTGGCGCCCAAGGCAAGGGCAGGGCCCAGGGAAGTGAGCCTTACAAAGTGGTTTTACTGCAGTGAGGTGACATCAGAGCCAGGCCAGACACGGACAACTTAGAGACTGCGCAGCGGCCCTGGCCCTTTCCAGGTCACAGGGCCAACTGGCTCCAAAACAAAGCAGTTCAGGGTGAGGGGTGGATCTTGAGACAGAGTTTCCTGTAGACTTAGAAAACTAGATCCTCTTTTTCCCTGACCTCCCAAAGTACTGGAATTACAAGCATGTGCCACCACACCCAGCTCCTAAAGAATTATTTTTCAGTGGAGGTGGGGGAAGAGACTCCTTTAAAATTCTTGTCTTTTTGTGTTTGTTCTTTTTTTGTTGTTTTCCTTTTTCTTCTTTTTTTTGGGGGGGGTCTTGCTCTGCTGCCCACACTGGCCTAGAAAGAATAGCTAGGCTCAAGCAAGTCTCCTAGGCTTTCTGAGGCTTCAGCCACTCACCGCAGCACCCACCGGCACCCACCGCTACCCTAAGGGCTTTAGGGTTTAAAGGCCTGGCCCAGAGTTTAGCGGCAGAGTGCTTGCCCAGCATGCATGACGTTTTAGGTTCCCTCTCACTGCAAAGAATTCCTAAAAGCTTAATTTTTGTTCTTGAGGTGGCTTTTAAAAACCAACCCGGGCTGACCTGACCTAGAGAAGTCAGCAGGCCAAGCCATCCGCCTGCCTTGGTCTCCTTAGCACTTGGCACATGAGCTGCCAAAGTCTGCCGCGTGATTTGAATTACTCTTTTCCACGGTCTCTGCGCTCAAGGACCGCACTCTACCCCCACCCTGTAAATGCTTCCTGACCCGGTTTTCCGGTCAGGGGTAGACCTGCCTACCACACTCCAGAACCTGGTGGGAGGGGAGGAGTCAGCTCTTCCGCTCCTGCTCCAGGGCTTAGCCCTGCTGTCCCTACGCAGGCCTGGGAGCAGAGCTCCCCTTTGCCACCATGGCCAACATCAACGAGCTGCCGGAGAACATCCTGCTGGAGCTGTTCACCCACATCCCCGCCCGCCAGCTGGTGTGTAACTGCCGCCTGGTCTGCAGCCTCTGGCGAGACCTCATCGACCTGGTGACTTTATGGAAGCGCAAGAGCCTTCGGGACGGCTTCATCACCAAGGACTGGGAGGAGCCGGTGGAAGATTGGAAGATCTTCTACTTCCTGTGCAGCCTGCAGAGGAACCTCCTTCGGAACCCATGTGCTGAAGGTGGGTTGGGAGTGAGGCCGGGCTGCCGTGGGAGGCGGTTTTCTACTTTGCTGAACCTCAGGCCTTCATGCTTGTTCTTCCACTCTGCCTGCACTGGGCCCATGTCCCTAATGCTTACCACACTTTGGTTGTGTGTATGGTTGGGGCCTGGGGGTGTGCATGTGGAGGTCAGAGAATAACTTGTCAGAGCTGGGGCTCTCCTTCTACCATGTGGGTCCTGGGGATCCAGCTTAGGTTTGTCAGCCTTGGCAGCAAGCACCCTTACCTGCCTCACCATCTTCACCCCCAGGGTTGACACCTCATCTAAACATAAGGTCTCCCCAGAGTCACCATCTCTGTGTGGCCCTGTTACACCTCCTCAGCCTGCAGTCTGCCATAAATGGCTTTGTCCTCTGCCACAGGGTCAAGCTCTAATGGACCCCGTGTGGCACACTGCCCCCTTTAGCTCTATCCAGGCTTCTTGCTGTCTGTCCAGGGACCCTCCTCCTGTTAAAGAGCGGGGTCTTGGCCTGAGGCCTTTGAGGTTTTCCTCACTGAGTATAGTACAGAGTATCTATGCTCTGCCCACTTTGCTTCTTAGGCCACAGAGGCCATCAAGAGACCTTATCTGAGCCCTGCATAGCAGCACACACCTTTAATCCCAGCACTCAGGAAGGCAATGGCAGACAACTCTTTGTATGTTCAAGTCCAGCCTGGTCTAGAGTTTGTTCCAGGATAGCCTTGGACTACACAGAGAAACCCTGTCTCAAAAACAGAGAGGCCTTAGCCGGGCATGGTGATCCACACCCGTAATCCCAGCACTCAGGGAGGCAGAGGCAGGTGGATCTCTGTGAGTTCCAGGCCAGCCTGGTCTACAAAGTGAGTCCAGGACAGCCAGGGCTACACAGAGAAACCCTGTCTCAAAGGGGAAAGGGGGGGGGCTTGTCTTCAAATGACTGCCATCTCTTCCCTGTCCTTGATGGGATTCTAGAAGGTAGACAAACGGTGAGCATGGCTGTCTGGATCGCAGAGTCCTTTGGGTCCTGAGGACCAACTTGGTTTAACGCTCAGAATGGCCATCCACTGAGGACTGTCTTGCCAAGGCTCAGCCTAGACAGAGGACCCACAGGCAGCACCTCAGATACCCAATCTCCCTACCTGCCCTAGATTCTACCCAGAAGCTGCCCAGGCAGGCTGCCAGCTCAGCTCAGGGCATGTCTGTCACAGCTACTCTGCAGCTTCGCTTCTTATGCCACCCCATGTCTGACTGTGGCATCCCAGCCTTGCTCAAATCTCCCTTGGCTTCAACCCATGCCAGCCCAGCTCCTGGAATTCTCTTATTCCTTTGGTTCTCTACTGGGGAGTCCCCTAGAACACATGGAAACAGTGCGAGCTCTTGCGGCAGAATGGTGAGTGGACTGGCTGAGCTCACCTAGGGATGGTTTTGTTTGGAAACTTTACGTATGGTAACACTCTCCCAGCTCTGCTCAATCTGAAGGGGGCGAATCCCTGGATCTGACCCCTGTGTGGTAGGTCTCTCACACCACGGGACTCCTGAAGCCACCAGCTCAAGGGACACCAATGTGCCCTCTTGGCATTTGCTCAGGAAAAGGGCATTGGATCATGTCAGAACAGTGGGTTCCTTTGGCCCCTAGAATCTGGGTCACACAGTTAAGGAGGGCCTCTCCCTCCTAAACCTGGAAAAGCCAGTGGCCTAAGATCCCTCCATCATGGGTCTTTATGATCATATTCTCTAAGGATTGACACATGGTTGTGGGGGCTCCATGGCAATATGGGGATACCAAGGCACAGATTATGCCCTTGGACTGGTAGGGTCCTAATTCTGGGTGCCCAGTACACTCCAGAAGCAACTGATTAATCCCTTGGTGTCCACAACCCTGGAAATCTGAGCCCAAAGAAGCCCTAGCCACAAATCTCACCACCCCTGAAGTCTCCCAGGACCAGAAAGGGCCTCAAAGTTTCAAGTGTAGCCCATGGGGATCTCACCTCCACTCCGTTTTCCCCAGAGAACATGAGATCGTGGCGGATAGACTCCAACGATGGCGATGAGTGGAAAGTGGAGAGCCTCCCTGGGGACCACGGCACAAACTTCCCTGACCCCACCGTCAAGAAGTACTTTGTCACCTCTTATGGGTAAGCAATGGTGGGGGCGGAGAGTCAGGAGACTGTGCCAATGGGCAGGACAAGTGGGGGCCTCTACAAGCTCAGGGAGGGTTCCTAAACAGGTGTGTACAGAAGCAGTGAACCTGGTGGCGGATCGCTGGCAATTGGGGGAGATGGGTTTCGGGTGACAAGGAGCTAGCTCACTGAACATGAAGTCAGGGGCAGCAGTAAGCCACACTCCATGATGTCCCATGGGATTAAATATCACCCAGGGAAAATCAAATCTAACTCCCCCATTTCCCTCAGATAGACCCGAGGAGCTCCCGCCAGGGCCTGTCCTGGGGGTCACCTGGGTCCCTTGAGCCATCTGCCTGGCAAGGAAGGGCCCTGTTTAGCACGATGGCAAAGCAAGCCTTGTCCTCTGCCCTCAGCATGTGCCTCAAGTCCCAGGTGGTGGACCTCAAAGCCGAGGGCTACTGGGAAGAGCTGCTGGACACCTTTCGGCCGGACATTGTGGTTAAGGACTGGTGAGTGGCCTGTGTCCCTACCCTCCCTGTATTCCCTCCTGCTAAGAGAGAACCCACAGGAAGGGCGCCCTCTGCCCTGCAGTGTCCTAAGAGCCACAGGCCAGGCCCATTCCCCTCCAGCTTGTACCAGCACTCCTTCTCCCGTCAGCCCTCACTCCAAGGATCCCCCCTTCCTGACAGTGGACACAGAACTTCAGCCATGTTTGTTGATGGGCACTGAGGCCTACCAATGGCTAGCTGCCCTGGGACCAGAGGACTGAACTTTGTGGAAACTCATCCACCCTCAATCTAGTAACTCCCACACCTTCTCTGATTATTTTATTTTTGAGACAGGGTTTCTCTGTGTAGCCTTGGCTGTCTTAGACTCACTTTGTAGACCAGGCTGGCCTCAAACTCAGAGATCCACCTGCCTCTGCCTCCCGGAGTGCTGGAATTACTGGGGTACACCACTGCGCCCACTTTACCTTTTGAATTTATTTTTATTTTTTATTTTTGGGTGCTAGGTGGAGGCTGGGACCCGTGTGAGGCTAAGCATATAATCTGCTATGCTCCAACCTCAACCCTTCCCTAAGGCCCTTTCCTAAGTCAACCCTCTGTGCACACAATTACTGGCACATGTCCCCATCCATTTTACCATATGGTGACAGGCTTGAGTAGAACAACGTCTCTGTAGAAAGCCACTTGGGTTCTCAAGCTCACACCCTGTTCTTGGATGGGAAAACTGAGGCCATATGTAGATAGATGCTTCCCTGTAGCCCATGGATAGAGGGGTGCTGGCTGACAGGAGCTGTCCCCAGAGCTGGCCTTCAGAGGCCTGGGCACCCACCCTCCATTCTGGCTCCCTAGGTTTGCGCCCAGAGCGGACTGTGGCTGCACCTATCACCTCCGCGTACAGCTGGCCTCTGCTGACTATATCGTCTTGGCCTCCTTTGAGCCTCCACCTGTGACCATCGAACAGTGGAATGATGCCACGTGGAAGGAGGTGAGACCCTGCCTGCCTGGCCTGCCACTCACTTTTCCAGGGGCCAGGCTGCTAAGGAAGAAGCTGCAGTTGTTTTGCAGTGCTAGGCTGTCCTCCCCATGGCCAGTCTCAATGGTCACTTCCCCTCTCTTCCTCAGGTCTCCCACACCTTCTCTGATTACCCTCCCGGCGTCCGCCACATCCTTTTCCAACACGGGGGCCAGGACACCCAGTTCTGGAAAGGCTGGTATGGGCCTCGAGTCACCAACAGCAGCATCATTATCAGCCACAGGGCAGCCAAGAACCCCGCCCCTGCCAGAACTCTGCCAGAAGACAGTGTAGTAATGAGGGAAGACACCCAGCCCCGGAAGCCATGACGGAAGACTTCTGACAGCCATCTTTCTGCCTCTGCTGAGGGCCGCCAAACGGTCCCTCCTGGCAAGCGCTAAACCCTTAGTGGGCAGTGAGGCCCCCAGTCCCATGAGCACCTGCCCATCAGCTCAGTGGTGACGGGCAGTCACAAAGCTCTGACATTTTGTTGTAATAAATGTTTTCAGTAAATCCAGCTGATTTGGGGCTTACAGGTGGGGTTGCTGGCACTCTCATAGTGAACTCTCCCCTCCCCCACCCCAGGGCAGCTCTGCTGCACTGGCTCCTCCTGTTTTTTGGTTAATGACAATGCAGTCAGCCCTTGGGGGCTCTTTATTAACAATAACTCACGGCACAGTATTTCAGATGGACAGTGTTAGCCAGCTGAGCCCCAGGAGGCTGCTGAGAAGTGACAACTGTCCTGGCATCCTTCCTAAGCCTCCTGGGAAGGCTGCCTCATGAAGGCAAGCAGGGCTGAGGAGCCCAACCAGAGGGGCGGCCACATGTCAAGGCGGTAAGAGCACTTGGAGTCGGGGCCCTGCAGCACCTCCCTGGGCAGGGGCCCGAGTGGAACAGCTGGACATCATGGGGTAGGCGCTCCCTCAGCTGTTTTTATGAGCTCGCTCTTCCACATAGAGCTGCATCTGGTAGAGAAGTGGCTTTGGTCAGACCATGAGGTGCCTGCTGGGAAGACTCAGAGGAAGGGGAAGCTAGAGGGCCACCCTTACCCCCAAACCCTGGGCAGCAAACTCCAGCCTAGAACTAACTCTAGGCCCTGCCTCTCCTAAACAAGGCTTTCTCCATCCCGTGACCCCTGAAAGCTTACCTTTAAAATGTCTGATGTCATGGTTTTTAGGGGTATCAGCCGAGGGTCATGCATGTGAACGTCCTGTTCGTCTGCCAGGATCCATGGGAAGTCCTAGGGATGGGGTCAGGTGAGGGTTAGAAGGGGTCACAGCTCAATCTGTTCTCACTCTGCTAACCCTCCCATCCAGGGCCCACACTCTACTGGGGTGCGGTAGGGGGCTGGAACTCAAGCATTTTATAGGCCCAGGATAGTTCTAAAATGATTCTGAAACCAAAAGGTAAGGTTCCTCTCTGGAGAACCCCATCCGGAAGAGCCAGGGTAAGCCAGCTGCTCAACACCCAGGTACACAAGGATGTGGTCAGGTGACTATGCACAGGAAAGGCCACTTAGTGCCAGGAACTGCGGCAAACAACGGTGCCAGCCACAGGCAGCATCCTCCCTGAGACTGCCTACACACGCACCTTGATGACCTGTATCTTCTCCATGTTTCGAGTGGCAGCTTCTCTTGTGTGCACAAGGACTGTAAACGTGCAGCCTGCAGAGAGAATGGAACAACTGGTCAAGGTCAAAGCTAAGGAGCCTCAGGATCTCACTGGACCAGGATTCTTCTTTCCTCCCTCACTGGCTGGGTAGTGCCACCCACAGGATGGGAGGTGTAGCCAATTACAAGTAAAGACAAATGGAAGCCTGAGGTGTTAACAGTCAGTCTTGGAGAGATGGTGAAGGGTGGAGAGGAGGAGGATGGCTCAGAGCAGCCAACTGGGAAGAAGACTGGCATGCTAAGGTAACCAAGGAAACAGCAGGGGATGGGGCATCACACCTGGAGGGTTGTGGTCCAGGACAGCGTCACATACACTGATCTTCAGGATGAAGGCTCGCAGCAGCTGCTCCACGTGAGACAGGAGGGAGTCTGAACTGGGAATAGGAAGGGAGGTCTCCCATTCCATCGTGCTCCTCCACCACCCCAAACCCACGGTGCACTCTGGAAGCAGTCTGGGCCAAACTGCTTTGGTGCTTGAGAGAGACAGTCCCAAGAGAATGGAGGCAGAGTGCAGGGGTCCCTTTCAGCACCTCTGATACTCAGCTAGCTAGGACACCCAGGACATAGCTCAAGTCTGCATGCCTCCAGGACAGGAGGAGAAGTGGCTTGTTTGAGGCCACCTAGCCAGGGGACAGGCTGGTTCCTGATTCCAGGGCCCTTATGGAAACATAAAAGGAAGTAGTTGAGTAGCCATGGAAACCAGTCAACTTGGTCACAGAGTCCTGGGCTCTGCACCACTGGGTGATACCACTCAGGTCACTTCTCTGGACCTTGGTTTCTCCACCTACACTGTAAAGCTAGGGACTAGCATTCACCACTTCCTGGGATGTCCCAGGGGTGACACAGGAGGGTGACCCTGTCACCTTTGTAAGATTTACAAAGTTATGGGACCAGTATGTCTTAGATGCTGATGGTATGTATTGCCACTTCAGGGTCCTTACTGAGGTAATGTGGAGTTGGTAGAGGGGTCCCTGTGAAAGACTGCAGCAGCCAGCCGAGGGAAGGTGACAGCTCACCTGATGGACAGCAAGGGCGGCTGAGTGATCTCAAAGACAAACTTCTCCACTGGGCGGTGTTCCTTATCCAAAATCACCACCACCACCTTCTCCACATCATTCTGTAGGCACAGGAAACGCCCAATCCAGAGCTATGCACAAGGCCCAGGGAGAGGTGGGGCAGGGCACTGGCTGAAGCTGCCAGGTTTCCCAGATGTGAATGGTCCAGGCCAGGAGGAGATGCCTGGCTTCCCATGGAGGTTCTCCAGTAAGTCTCGGACCAGGACAAGATAGAAGAAAAAAAAAACCCGAGCAAGGAGGGGGCATAAGAAAAACCAGAACTTCCAGGGCAGGCCCCACCCAGATCTGGCCCAGCTATGGAAACCCAGTGTGACGTACATGCCCTGGGCCCTGTTGCTAGCTGGGGGTGGTCTTCAGAGTGAGGCTTCTGGCTGTTGAAAGCAGCGAGCACTTCCCAGAGTCAGCCCCGAAGCAAGGAGGAACAGATTAGGTGTAGAGTATCTGGGAGCAGGGGACCCCTCACCTTCTCCAGGAGTGGTTTGACGCAGTGAAGTGTGTCCTGGATATACTGGTTCAGCTCCGGGTGACAGGACATCTGCAGACAACCCCACAGGGCTGGTGAATGGGGGAAACACCAACAACCCCACACATACACCTGCTGGTCTTTGAACAAAGAACCGCCATTCCCCAGATGTCCCTGCCCGGGGGACACGAGATGTCCCCCATTGATGAGATGTCCCAACTCATCATCATTGTGCTAAGAACTGTGGATGAGCCAGGCATGGTGGCATGTGCCTTTAATCCCAGCACTAGGGAGGCACAGGCAGGTGGATCTGAGTTTGAGGCCAGCCTGGTCTATAAAGTGAGCCCAGGACAGCCAAGGCTATACAAAGAAACCCTGTCTTGAAAAACAAAAAACAAAACTGTGGATGAATTTACCTCTGGAGAGATACTCAAAGACAGGCATTCCATCTGAGCACTAGCACTTGGCATTAACACCAAGCTGTAAGACCAAGCATGGTGGCACATGCCTTTAACCCCTGCACTAGGGAGGCGGAGGCAGAGGCAGGCAGATCTCTGAATTAGGGCCAGCCTGGTCTATGAAACAAGGGCTATACAGAGAAACCCTGTCTTGGCGGGGGTGGGAAGGAAGAAGCTGTATAGCCATAAGCAAATGACTTAACATTCTGAGCTTAATGATGTCATCTGGGAAGATCTAATAAAGGTGAAATTAATTAAGAAACTGTTAATGGACAGGGGTGCTTAGTAGCTGTTTCCCCCCCCCCCCCCCAGGCAGGGTTTCACTATGTAGCCTCAATTGTCCTGGACTCACTTTGTAGACCAGGTTGGCCTCAAACTCACATCAATCTGCCTGCCTCTGCCTCCCTGAGTGCTGGGATTAAAGGCTTATACCACCACTCCCAGCTTATTTCTTTTTGTTTGTTCGTTGTCTTCTTAACTATCCTTTAAGTGTCTACCATCTCCCGGTATTTAGAAGTCAATAATTCTTATGGTGAGAATGACTACAGTGAGAAAGGTGCTTGTAGGAACCTGGGAGGGAAACAGCACGTCTACCGTTTTCACATTTAAAGTTAACCCAGGAGCTAGGCATGGTGGTATACATCTTTAATCCCAGCATCTGGGAAGCAGGTGGATCTCCAAGCCTAGCCTGGTCTACATAGAGTTCCAGGACAGCCAGGGCCATCCTGAGAAACCCTGTCTTGGAAAACAAAAGGAAAAGCAGGAAGCTTGGGGATGTGGATCCAGGAGGATAAGGAGTTCAAAGTCAGCCTCAGCTTCCTAACAAGACCAAGCCCAGGCTAGGCTACAGGAGGTCTGGGTTTTTTTTTTAAAGCAGTTTTAAAGATTTATTTGTATATAGTGCTCTCCCTCACGCCAGAAAAGGACAGCAGATCTTATTATAGATGGTTGTGAGCCACCATGTGGTTGCTGGGAATTGAACTCAAGACCTCTGGAAGAGCAGCCAGTGCTCTTAATCTCTGAGCCATGTCTCCAGCCCCCCAAGGATTTTTTTTTTTTAAGTACAAAAATAAACTGGGGCTGGAGAGATAGCTCAGCAGTTAAGAGCACTTGCCATTCAACCGCAAGGGTGGGATCCTTACCACCCATCTTAGGCATCTTACAAATGCCAAGGGTTCCCATGCCCTCTTCCAGCCTCAGTGGACAGCCCATCCACAAACACAGGCATTGACACATGCACATAGACACATAACTAATATAAATCTTAAAAAATAAAGAGCCAGGTATGGTGGCTCACATCTTTGTTCCCAGCAGAGGCAGGAGGATTCCTGTGAGCTTGAGGCCAGGCTGGTCTACATAATGGGAAAGCCACACCAGCCAAGATTAAACAGTGAGATCCTATCTCAAATAATAATAAATAATTTTTTAAAAATCTTTAGAGTTGCTGGACATGGTGGCACACGCCTTTAATCCTAGCACTCGGGAGACAGAGGCAGCTGGATGTCTCTGTGTCCGAGGCCAGCCTGGTCTACTAAGCGAGTCCCGGACAGCCAGGGTTATTACACAGAGAAACCCTATCTCGAAAAAAAAAAAAAAATCTTTAGAACTTAGGGCAAATGAGGAGAGGAGAAGGGAGGTGCTGGACACTGTGGGAACGCTGTACCCAGGGCAAGGTTCCCAGCCTCAGAAACCCCTTTAAAGCGCAAGCCTGGAATAGCTCTCATCCTGGGTCCCTAACCAGTGGATCGCATCTGAGGTCAGGGCGGGAAGGGATCGGGCGGTGAGAGGCAGGAGGCTGTCCGCTACCAGCCTCTGCTGAGGAGTGAAGAAGCCTGTAGGGAGAATAAAGGTTCTTGAATCCAGCCGGGCACCGGGGCTCACCTGAACCGGCACGTTGTACTTCTTGCGCTTCTGGAAGATGCCCACCGGGTAGACCTCGCGCACATAGAGGATCAGGTGCACGGCCACTTCCAGGAACTCGGAGAGCACGTCGGCCACCACTGAGGAGGAGGACACCGCTGCTGAGCACGACTCCAGCCGGGGCCGCACCCCCACCGCCTTGCAGGCCCAGATCCCTACCTTGGCCAAAGTTGAGGTCTTGGCGCGTGAGCGTGGTCATCCTTGGCCGTCCGGGGGCGGGCGCGGAGGCCGTCTGCAGGGACCCACGGCACCCGGCCCCGCACGCGGGAAGCGCAGCCCTGTCGGGGAAGCCCCACCCCCTGAGCGGCCGGATCCCTCCCGGCGGAAATCCCGCCCTCTCCGCGCTCCTTCCCGGTGGAGGGCTCCGGCTTCGGTCTCAGGTTCGAATCTCAAACGCGGCGACGGGAACCACCTGCTGGGACCCCTCGCACGTCCCCCAGTATCCTCTAGCCTCCGAGACCACCGCGGTGCTCCTGAGGTCCCGGCGCTCCCATCGGCCACGCCCACCCCCGGAGCTGTCCAATCCGGGCCTCGCCCTGCCGGAGGGGCGGAGCAGCCTCGGGGGTGGGGTTAGGGGGCGGAGATCCGCCTGAGCGACAGGGATGTCAGGAGAGGGAGCTAAGCCGCCTTGGAACTTCAGGTGAAAGCGGTGAAGAGATTTCGCTGCCCGTGCACCGGGTCGCTGTGTTTCCCCGTCCCGGCCATTTCTCCTTAGTAGTTGCAAGTGAGAACCAGCTGCAAGCGCAGCTGGGTACCAGGGGAGGGCAGCGACATCTGCTGCTGGTCAAGAGTCAGCGTCCCCGGACCCACGGCTTGCCCAACCGAAAGCGAATCCGCAGGCTTGGGGGCGGGCACAGGGGAGGTCGAGACGCACCCGAAACGTTCCACCCCCACCCGGCACTTGGGTGCCGCGGGGCCTGACCTCCCTGAAGAATTAAGCGTCCCGTGCTCTCTTCACAATAGCTGACCTGTGGAAGCTGCAGCCGAAAGCTGGACACTGGGCTGGGTGTCTGTGGGTTGACTCGGTAAATCCTCAGAATGCGTGTGGGTTCCTGGCTAGCTTTTTTCCTAACGATGAGTCTAATGAAGATTTGTCTGTGTCACGCAGCCAGCGGAGGGGCGGGCAGTAGAGCTGCTCCAAGGTCCATCCTGCAGAGGCCTGGACTCAATTCCTGAGGAGCCAAAAGGGCCTCGGGATCATTTTAACAATACGAAAATTACATCCATTATATGGAATCATTTTATGTAACAAACCCTGATTTCTACTTATTTATTTTATGTGCGTGAGTGTTTTGTCTGCAAGTACATCTGGGTACTACTGCTTGGTCCAAGTGAAGGCCAAAAGAAGGCGTCAGATCCCCTGGAACTAGAGCTATAGGTGGTTGCAAACTGAAATATAGGTGCTGCAGAATGAAACCCCACCTCCTCAACACCCAACAGAGCAGCAAGTAGTCTTAACTGCTAAACCATCTCTCCACCTCCCCAAACTCTGATTTATATTAATTCCTTCATTAGCCCTAGGAGCTAAGTATTGCCTTCACAGCCCAACTCTATAGATGCACTTTAGGCCCAGGAATGTTTCTTTATTCATCAAAGCCACACGGATAGAATTCAGCTTAACTCACAGCTTTCTGTTTAACAGATAGAAAAATCTGAGGTGAAGCAGAGTGGTGGTGCACACCTTTAATCCCAGCACTAGGGAGCCAGAGGCAGGTGAATCTCAGTGAGTTCAAGGCCAGCCTGATCTACAAGGCGAGTCCAGGACAGCCAAGGCTACATAGAGAAACTCTGTCTCAGAAAAAAATAAAAAGAAAAAAGAAAGAAAGAACATCTGAGGTGAGAAGGGCCCTGGAATTAGAGATGACAAGACAGGTGTAGAAGCCAAGAAAATTTGGAGGAACTTATCTCAGCCTGTGGGTCACAGCCCTTTAGGGTCAAATGGCTCTTTCCTAGGGATAGCATATTAGATATCCTGCATATTGTATACTTATGTTATAATTCATAACAATAGCAAAATCAGAGTTATAAGGTAGCAATTAAAATAATGTTATGGTTGGGGTCACCACAGCATAAGGAACTGTATTGTAGAGTCATAGCATTAGGAACATGAGAACCACTGACTTAGACTCTGCCCTCCAGGGATGTAAGAGTTGTTTTGGTTTTCTGTCTCTGTAGGGAATGAAGCTTTAAAGTTCATCCCTGGACACTCCTGCGCCCTTCCCAGAAACTGTCAATCCCTTATTTACACCCTTCTCGTGGGAAAGGATAAAAAGCAGGCCAGAGGAAGGATTAAACCGAAATGAGAGCAGAGCAGATCTCAAGATGCAGACCTAGGAAGTCTCCTGTCAGCCCCCAAGGACCCTATTAAACCCTGGCTGTCCAGCAGCCCTGCTGACCTGACCAGGGCAGGTTCGCAGCGGGGCTCTGCTCCTTAACAAGCTCCCCAGGGAACTTGGTATGCCCAAGAAAATGTGGGAACTGCCAATGGAGTTTGCCTGCATTCTGAAACACATCCGTGCCTAACCCAGTACTGGCTTCAGGAACTGATACACCTGTCAGTGGGCACGGAAACCCTTCTCAAGACTCGGGAACCCTGCCTTCATCACACTGTGTTCCACCAATTCCTTTATACCCAGACCTGACTGAGCAACTCACTGCCTTGTAGACCTGAGTGTAGCCACATTTCATCATGGTGGATTGGGGAACGCCAGAGTCCTTTATCCACCCCACCCCCAGCTTCCGAAGCAGCATTTTCATTACTGATGCGGGGTGGAGATGGGAGCTGGGGGTGGGGGGATCCCTTGGGGATGAAACAAGGACATGGACAGGGGGCTGAGGTAACATAGGACCAGCTGGGGACCTCTGCCTTCGGCCTACAATGCCTGGGTTCTCATGTTAGTTATATCAGCATGATGGATGGCTGGAAGACTGAGATTGCATTATGGGGTAAGTTATTGTTTTTGAATCCCCATTTGATGGGAGACTGGTTTGCAATGTTATTTCACCACAAAGACAATATGTAATGCAGGGCTGGGAAAGAAGCTGCATGTTAGAGAAGAAAGAAAGTGTGTATGTGTTTGACAATTAGAGCAGGTCCCTGGGGGCCAGCAATAGGGACAGAGGGAAAATCATTCCCAAGAGATACTGAAGTGAAAACAGAGAAGGCAAAATACAAAAAGTGTAAGTACCAGCCCAGGAAAGACTAAGCCTCCATCGATGTGCCAAAGGGTTCTGGGGGTGGGGAGATTGGGGGGGTGTGAACAAACCCATCCTGAGTGAACTAGGTAAAATGCTTGTCAACAAAGTGTACAGACTTGCAAGGTGCTTCTATAGCCAATTCCTAGTCCACAGAGAGGATCACAAAAGGATCATCTGGGCAGGCAAGATGGCTCAGCAGGTAAAGGGGCTCACCACCAAGCCTGACAACCTGAGTTCAATCCCCAGGACCCATGTGGTGGAAGGAGAAAACCGGCTCCTGCAAGCACCCACGTGCTCCAGCTCTCTCATAGATAGATGATAGATACATGATAGATAGATAGATAGATAGATAGATAGATAGATAGATAGATGAGATAAATAGATAGATGATAGATAGATAGATGATAGATAGACAGACAGATAGATAGATGTAAAAAAATTAAATTTAATTAACTAATAAAGAGTCAGCATCTTTCCCATCTGTCTCATGTTCCCAGGCAACAAACAGGTAGGTACAGGGAGAGAGAAAGGGAGCCAACCACAAGAAGCCTGGGGATCTCAGGACAGCCTGAAGCTCCACCCAGCCCCTTGGCCTGCTTCCTGAGGAGGGACCTGGTCTGTCTAGATCGTCCTTTTTTTTTTTTTTTTTTTTTTTGGCTTTAACACCCCACTCAATGCCTGGCCAGTTCAGGTTCTCAAAGAACATGTTTTAAGTGAATGATGAAAGGAAGGTGGAAAGAGGACATGACGGCAGGGGCAGCTTGATCTGCAACCCAGTTTGCTTAGAAAGAATAAGCTAAGAACTCTGATGGCAGCACTCGGCACTCGGGCTGTAAGCCCAGCCAGAGTGTGGGCTGGGCCTCCTGGAGCCCCCACACCCACAGCCCGCTCAGGCATCCACCTGCTCCTTCTTTTTGTCACCCTGATGCTCATCCAGCCAGGAGACCTGTTTTCTTCTTTCAGCCTCGGCTTGCTCATCTGTGAGACGGGAAATTATAGATCCCGCCCCAAAGGGTCATCTGCATATGGCGGTACACACTTCGACCCTAGCCCTCAGGAGGCAGAGGCGGGCGCAAATTTTAGGTTAGCCAGAGCTACACAGTGAAGAGTCTTTCTCCAAAATGAAGTAAGATGCAATTCTGTTTTAGATTTATTTAATCATTTTATCTTGTGTGTATGAATGTATGAATGTGTATGAGTGTGTATGAATCTTTGCCTGCCTGTATGTATGTAAGTGTATCACACATGTGCCCGGTGCCCGCAGGGTCAGAAGAGGGTATCAGATTGCCTGGAACTTTAGTTATAGGTGGTTGTGGGCCATCATATGGGTGCTTGGAATCGAACTTAGGACTTCTGCAAAAGCCACGAGGCTCTAAACCACTAAGCCATCTCTCCAGCCAAAAAAAAAAAAAATCTATAAAATTGAATAAGTAAAATATTTATAAATACATAGAACATAAATGGTCAATCCATGGCCATAAGATCTACACAGAACTAATGAGCCTGACATCATGAATTCAACCCCCAGGACCCAGATGATGAAAGAAAAAAATCCACTCCCTCCCAGTTGTCCTCTGATCTACACACATAAATAAACAAATAAATATATAAAAATAAAGATATTTTTAAAGATAGAAAAGAGTCAAGCATGGTGGCACATGCCTTTGGTCCCAGAACTTGGGAGACAAAAGCAGGTGGATCACTGTGAATTCAAGGCCAGCCTGGTCTACAAAGTGAGTCCAGGACAGCCAAGGGCTCTGTTACACAGAGAAGCCCTATCTTGAAAAAACAAACAAAAACAAAGATCTACACAGACCATCAGGCATGGCGGCACAGACCTTAAATCACAGCGCTGGTGAGGCACAGACAGGAAGAGCTCTGTGAATCTGAGGCCAGCCTGGTCTGCTACATAGAGTTCCAGGCCAGCCAAAGCGATGCAGTGAAACTCTGTCTCAAAAATGAACAAGTAGCCCTCTACAGACGATTTAAGCCCTCAGAAGGACCACGCTGGACAAATGTCTTGATTTTCAAAATGACATCATGAGGCTGGGATGAAGTTGGCAGAAGGCATGCCTAATGTGCGTGAAGCACTCAGTTTGCTCTCCAGCATCTTATAATCTAGGCGTGGTGGTGGTAGAACACACCTGTAACCTCGGCACTCAGGAGGTGGAGGCAGAGGGTCAGAAGTACAAGGTAATCTTCAGCTACGGGAGTCCCAGGCCAGCCTCAGATCTACAAACCCTGACTCAAACAAACAAAGGCTATGTTATGTATCCTTAGCATCTCCCACCCCCTTCCTCATTTCCATTTCTTCAGGCAACAGACAGACCCCCTGGGTGCTCTGTGGGGAAAGGAACACGTATCCTCATGGCATGAGATGCATGAAAACAGTGAGCAGCACACACCCTTCCAACCTCCCTTGGCTTTCGGAGCACTTCCGGTCCACTGCTGACCTCCAACCGACACCAAAGTGTCCGCTTCAGGACCACGACACTGGACAGCTTCCAACCCTTCCCTTAGAACACAGCCCACCTATGCCATTCCCTCCTTGGGTGTACTGGCCTGGCTGGCCACAGGGGCCAACACACACCACCAATGACGGGCTGTGGGGCCAGCTTTGAAGTACCTGCATGACGGAGGTTATTTCTGGAGAGCATTAACTGAGAGCATTAATTGAGGCAGGAGGGCAGGGACCTGGAAAGGGTGGTTCTTTTCTCTGCTTCTTGACTGCTGTCATGTGGACTGTTCACCTCTGTTCTGTCAGAGTTCTGTCCTCCCACCATGATGTTCTGAACCCTCTGAAAACATGAGCCAAAATAAGTGATTCTTCCCTCAAGTTATTTCTTTCAGTTATCTTGGCACAATGATGAGAAATGTTTATTGTGTCAACTTTGACTCCCACTCACATCATGTACCCTATGTATGTCCTATGTACCCTCTGAGGCCACCATCCTAGGCCAGCTCAGCTGCCACTTTTTTTGTTTGTTTGTTTTTGTTTTTGTTTGTTTTGTTTGGTTGGTTGTTTTTCAAGACAGAGTTTCTCTGGGTAGCCTTGGCTGTCCTAGAACTCACTCTGTAGACCAGGCTGGCCTCGAACTCACAGAGATCCTCCTGCCTTATGCCTCCCAAGTGCCGGGACTAAAATTATGTGCTACCACTGCCAGGCTTAGATGACACTTTTTAATCAGTAACTTCTTCACCGAAAAATAATTTATAAATCATAACACTTGCATTTTTTTTCTGTATGTGCTTCAGCGGATATTTAGACAGAGAGTTGAATATCACTACCTAATTCCAGAACATTCTCATCAATTTAAACAATAAGAAAAGCCAGGTGTGGTGGTGCATGCCTTTAATCTCAGCACTCAGGCAGGTAGATTGCTGTCACTTCAAGGCCAGCCTGATCTACAAAGTGAGTCCAGGACAGCCGAGGCCACACAGAGAAACCCTATCTAAGATGAAAAAAAAAAAAAAGTCAGGCCAGCAAGCTGTCTCAGTAGGTAAAGAGGGTACCAAACCTGAAAACCTGAGCAGGATCCCTGGGAAAGAGAAAATCAAATCCAGAAAGCTGTTTTGTGACTTCTAACACATGCATGGTGACACACATATACATGCATTGAGTACACACACACAAATAATAATAATGATGATGATAACAATAACAGTGTTTTTAAAAGAAGGGCTGCAGAGATGGCTCAGCAGTTAAGAACACTTGTTGTTCTTGCAAAAGAAAAAAACAACCCCGAGTTAGTTTCAAGCACCCACATGTGCTTGGACCTACCTAGACCATCTGTGACTCTAGTTCCAGGGGACCCAAGATCCTCTCTGGCCTCCGTGGGGACTACGTTCACATGGTGCACAAGCACACATGCAGGCAACACACTCATTTAAAAAGGAATTTACACCAGCGGTGGCAGTGCAAGCCTTTAATCCCAGCACTCAGGAAGCAGAGGCAAGTGGAGATCTTCATTCAAGGCCAGCCCCTCTGTAAACTGAGCTCCACGACAATCAGAGAAACCCTGCCTCAAAAAGCAGAACAAGCCGGGCAGGACAGTGGTGGCACATGCCTTTAATATCCTATGTCGGTGATAGAGGAAGGTGGAGCTCTGTGAGTTTGAGGCCAGCCTGGTCAACAAAGTGATTCCAGGACAGCCAAGGCTGCAGAGGGAAACCCTGTCTCGGAAACAAACACACAAAAAGAAAAAAGAAAAGAAACAAACCAAGCCATACCAGAATGCAATTGGACCTCTGTGGCATCTTACATCTGGCTTCCTTGACTTAGCTTAATGATTACAAGATTTATCGCAAGGTTTATATATTCATATATATATTTCTTCTTTTCTGTTTGATGTTATTGCTGGTTTCTGTTTCTGATTTTTTGGGAATTGAACCCTGGTCCTTGTGTTTCTTACGGAAGTGCTCTACTACTGAGGGCGTGTCCTACTCAGTCCCTCTAATTAGCTAACTAATCAACCGATTAATTATATTTATTGGAGGTGTGCACTGTTCTACCTGTGTAAGGTCAAAGAACAATAGGACAGTTTGAGGAAATCCCTTCTCTCCTTCCACACGGGCCTGGGGATTCAAACTCGGACTGTCAGGCTTGGCAGCAAGCATTTTTACCATGTTGGGCCTCTTCACGGCTCCCTCAGTCCTTTCTAGGAGCAACGAACATCCCCTTCTACTGATGGACTACAGCGTGTTTGTCCTTTCCTTCCCTGGTGGATATTTGGATCTGCTTTAGTCAATCAACTGCCCCACTTTACAGAGGCCACAAGTGACCATAGTCTGGATGGGGTAGGAGCCTAGTCCTCTAACTGAGTCACTCTGGAAGAACCCGGGCAACAGGCAGAGCAACATTTCAAACAGCCTCCAAGGGGCATCCATTGCCCATGGGTACCAGGCCACCGCCTGATTCCTTAAAGAGAATTCCACCCCCTGCTCACTCTTTCCTCCCTTAAGTCAGTCTCTTCTCTGCTACAGTTTCTAACTGCCCTCCCTGTTTTGTTTTGTTTTTTATTTTTGTTTGTTGTTTGTTTGTGAGAAGAGCTCTCAAGTCTTGGAACTTACTATATAGAAGAGGCTGGCCTTGAACTCACTGCAATCTCTCCTGAGTGGTGGGATGAAGGCACATGCCATAAACCTGTCCCTTTTTTTGTTTGTTTGTTTGTTTGTTTGTTTGTTTTTAAGATTTATTTGTTTCTGTGTGTATGTTTGCCTGCATGCCTGTCTGGGTGCCGCTTGTGTGCCTAAAGAAGGAAGCCAAAAGAGGGCATCAGACCCTCTGGAACTGGAGTTAAGGGTGGTTATGGCTGGCCTGTGGGTGCTAGAACCTAAAGTGCCTTTGCTTTCACTCCCTTGCGGTCTGTCTCAAGCTCCTGAGTCATAATGAAGCTGTGTCCAGCAGGCACAGGAGCAGCCGTGTGAGCCTCCCAGTTAGTAAGCGCCTGTCTTCTCCAAGCCATTCTGTGCTTGGCCGTGTACTAGCCTCCCAACAGCACCGGTTCATTTTCCTGGAGCCTCTCCTGTGGGCTGGGAGGTTCAGAACGCTTTTCTTACACAAACCGCCGCCACCGAGCCTCAGTCCCCGAGTTCCCCACAACGACCCGACCCGTTCGAAGTTCGATAATTTGTCCGAGGCTGTGATTTGGCACCAGAGGAGGGACCTCGCCTGGTGCGGAGCAGCGCTCCTAACTAACCCTGTAAGCCCCAATGTGTCACCCTGGAAATGGAAGCCTCCCCCTCTCCCCACGTGCCGGGTCCGCCCCACTGCTCTTTGATCTTCGCAAGGTCGGCGGCCCCGTTGACCCCGTTGTGAGTTATGGGGGCCGTGGGAGCCGTAACCCAGCATTCCCGGACTCCCGGGGTCGGCGGGACACGGCGCCCCGCGCGGTGATGGATGAGCCGCCGGGAGGGCTGGCTTTGTCCGGATTGGGCTGAGTAGCCAGGGACACCAGAGTGGGGAGAAGCGGACCGCGTGTGTGTGTGTGTGTGTGTGTGTGTGTGTGTGTGTGTGTGTGCGCGCGCGCGCGCGCGTTAGGAGGGGGGTGGACCCCTTTCCCTACAGGAGAGGGGGCTTAGGCGAGCCATCGGCCCCCAGGTGAAGTCCTTTTAAGTCCTCGTGCACACCCTCTCGGCACAGGGACTTCTCCGAGAACCTCCCCCACTCCGCGCACTTTCTCAGGCTACAAAGGCCGCGCCGCTGTCGGTCCCGCCTTTCCCGCCGCGGGCGTTTCTTCCGTCCCATTTGACGGCCGAGGCGGAATAATCCTTTTGGGGACCCCACCGTCTCCTGCCCCGCCAGACGCGGCCGCAGCTGAGCGCGCAGCCCGGACCTATTGTTGGGGGGAGGGGTCCGCCAGGGACGCCCCGCCGCTGCCCTTTGTCGCCCGCTCCCTCGCGGGGCCGCTCCAGATGCGCCACCGCTGCCCGGCGCCCCTCCCGTCCCACGCGCCCCGGGGCCGCGCCAAGGTGGCTCTTACGCACCGGGAGGAGCGGGCCCGCCTCGCCCGGTGCCCACACGGCCGCGAGGCTGCGCCCGCCTTTGTCTGCCTCCTTTGTCTGCCCCGCGCCCTGGCGGCGGCGCGAAAGCCTCCGGGGAGCGGGCGGCGAGCGGCGAGCGCAGCTGGCTGGAGCGCGGCGCCCGCAGAGCACCGGGTTCTGCCCGGCCGGGGGGGTGGGTGGGTGGGGGTGGCCCTCGGCAGGGGGTCGCGGAGCCCCGCGGCCCCTCCTACGTCCCCTCCCAGCGCGCCGTCCCCGCCCCTCGCGCTCCCCTCCCTCCCTCCCTCCCACCCTGGCAGCCCCGCGCAGCCTCCCGCCGCCCGAGCACCTCTCGGCACCGTCCCGCTCCGCCCTCGGCTGCGCTCGGCTCCCGCAGGCGCTCGGCCCTGCGCCCTCGGTCCCCTCCCCGCCCGCCCGACAGGTAAGGCCCGGCTCGGCCCGCCCCCGGCCCCGCCCTCCGCTCACCTAGCGGAGCGCCCCGACCGAGGTCCGCGCCCTGCGCGGAGGGAGGACGCTGCCTTCCTCCCTGCCCTCGGACCCGCGCCTTGATCTCTCCGTCTGGCCGCCTGTCTCTTGTCTCCACTTCGCGCCTCGTGTCTCCTTGGCTCCCGGCCCTGTTTCCCGCCACCTGGTCCGCCCCCTGGCTTCACACCGGACACTCACTTTTCCATGCTCTGTGGCACTCTGCCTCGTGCTCCCTAGCCGCCCTCTCGGGGTCCCGGCTCCCGCGCGCTATTCTCCGCACTAGCCTTCTCCCTTTGGGAACCGGTGTCTTTTTGTCTCTGTCTCTGGGTGGTCCCTCAGCTGGGAGACTCGTCCATCAGTGTTGGAAGAAGTCTCCAGAGATTCCCTGTGCGAGGGTGGGGAGCGCAAACCGGGACAGGGTGCCTCTGTCCCTTTGGACGACTCCCCGAGGCTGGGTGTGTTTGGGGCTCACCCAAAGCTGGCATAGCCCGGCCTCACAGTTTCCCACCTGGGACTGGGCTAGTGTTGTGCTTTTACTTACCTCGCGGGCACCCAGCTCTTTTTTTCTGGGCTGGCTTGATCCCTGGCTTTTCCTACCGCGGGGCTTGCTCCAGCAGACCAGAAGGCTCAGCTGTGGTCTGGAGCCAGGGCTTACGTTTAAGGTGTGAGTGTGCCCGGGATTCCCAGACAAGTTTGTTTGGCCATCTCGGCTGGGTACTCTCTTGGTCTTCACTCTTTCAGGTGGTGGTCCCTGCTGCTGCTGGTTGTCTCTCTAGGGTGCCTATCCCTCAGTCCCGTAGCAGACAAGGTGCTCTCAACTGGTTCGTTTCGGTCACTCTGGGCTTGGGTGGGCATGGGTTCTGAAAGTAAGCAGTCTTGGACAAAGGAGTGCGAGTCTGAGCCTCAGTGTCTCCATCATAAAAACGGGGACAATAGATCTACCTGAAGGGATGTGTGCTCGGCACATGAGAGAAGCCTCTTATGTACCTACATGGTGCCGGTGGGGACGGGAGAGGGATTCTACAATTCCTGGATGGTATAGGGATGGGGGGGGGGGGCACAGCCTGTCACAAAGTCCAGGTTGGAGACCTTGTCACCATCTGAAACCCAGTTCTCTGCACTCTCCCTGTCACATCCTGTCACACCCCCTGCCTGCCCATACAACTTGCCACAGTTACAGCGACCTCTGTATAAACATGACTATAGGTGTTGCCAACAACCCACAGTGCTTTGGAGGTGCCTGTGGCACACTCTTCCGAGCTCTGAGCCTCTGTTTTGTTCCATGGTGCCAGCTACGAGCCAAGGCATTCCCCGGTCTTATGGTAGATTGACTTGCAGGTCCTGGACCTGCTTTTTCAGTCCCTCAACCCTCCCTCATTAGCACCTATGTGGTCAGAACAGGTGCTAGGCTGGCCCAGGAGTCGAACAGTGTGATATGGCCAAGATGCAACCTTCCCTCAGTAAGAAGGGTGGAGACTCCCAGGCTGTTTTTGTCTGGGCTGCGCCTGTGTTTTCTTGCCGTGAGGCAAGAATGGAGATGGGGCCTTCCCCTGCCCTGCGCCCGCCATCCGTGCTCCTCTCCTGCCTGGCACAGGAGCCCTGCTTTAACTGTTCTGGCCTCCCCACCGTCTCTGGTTCTGCATCCTCTGGTCACAGCCGTATGCAGGAAGCCAGCTCAGCAGTTCCTGTAACCCTGGGAAGCTTACTCAGACCCTCCTTGCCTCACTAAATGAAAATGACGCCTCCTCCTCTGTCTTCCTGGCTCCAGTGTGGCCACTAAATTAACTACAGAAACCTCTGTCTGCCCAGCCTCCCATCTGCCTTTCACCACACTCCCTTAGGCATCCTAGGTTTCAATAGCAATGGAAGACGCGTCTCTGTCCCCTGACTTCCTCTGAGGCCCATCCCTCCATCTACGCTGCCTCTGGGCCCCGTGTGCAGGCTGAGCCTGCATGTCTTTGCAGGCTAAAATCAGATGTGTCCTTCACCAGGATTGGTGAAGGAGTGTCTCCATTCCCTACATGGGAGCTAGGTCTCCTTTCAGTGTGGCCTCAAAGTCTGACACCTACTAGGTGTGCTACACACACACACACACACACACACACACACACACACACCATCCTTGGTCAAGGGGGAAGGAATTAATGGGAAACTACAGGCCTACAGGCCTGCTGAGTCCTGCTGGCCTGACTAGAGGCAGAGCAGGCCCCAGGGCAAGGACTTTGGTTGGATACAGAGCAGGCCGCTGGGAAATCCCCATGTTTCTGGGGCTGTGCCAGGCGCTGGAAGATAACCCTGACCTCCTTTGTACCTGATCATCACAGGAAAAACCATGCAGCTTGCTTTTGCCTCCTACCTGGCCAGCTGCTGTGTCAGCTGGAGGAATGTGGCAGAGGGCAGGGAAAGTGGGGGAGGCTCTGGACCCAGGCCTCCTTTTCTCTTGGGAAGAGCTGAGGCAGTAGCCCTGGGCATGGTCCCTGGCAACAGGTCATTCTAGCATCCCTGTTCTGGGCCCATTGGGCCAGGATCTGCCTCTGTCTTATCTGGCCTCCTCCTTTGCTAGTTCCGTCCCAGTCCTTCCTCTACAGCTATGGCCAAGGGACAGCTGGCTTTGTCTGCATGGTGACTGGAGTGTAGCCAAATGCCTGCTGCTAGGGGACAAGCTTCCTGGGTCCATCTTTGACAACCCTTCCCACATCATGGCTGGGCATTCACCATCTGGTATACTTCCTTGTTAGAGTGAGGGGTAGGAGGATTGTGATTAGATGGATGCCCTGTTGGAGCTCAGAGCAGGGAGAGTGGATGAGGAGGACCTTTTAGATGTTATCTCCATGGTACTGAATTAGGACTCTGGTACATGTCCCCGGTCCCTGATAATCACAGCAGCTGTACTGGGACTGGTTAAGAATGGTAGCTTGAGGAGGGGCTGGTGAAATGGTTCAGCAGTTAAGAGGATCTGCTGCTCTTGTGGAGGACCCATGTTTGATTCTCATCGCCCACATGGTAACTCACAACTGTCAACTCCAATCCCAGAGAACTGGATGCCCTCTTCTGACTTAAGTGGGCATCAGGCATACGCATGGTACACAAACATACATGTACCATTAACACAGGCTGAATGGTGGTGGCCTACGCCTTTAATCCCAGCACTCAGGACACAGAGGCATGCAAATCTTGTGTTCAAGGCCAGCCTGGTCTACACAGTGAGTTCCAGGACAGCCAGAGCTGCACCAAGAAACCCTGCCTCAATAAACAAACAAACAAAAAAACCAACCAACCAAACAACAACAGAAAAAACCCTCCAATATACATTAGTTCATTGTTCAGATGTGTTATCAACATCCAGAAAGATCCATTGACATGCTCAGGGTCACCATTTGAAGCTGGAGCCAAGACTCTCTGCCAACGCTGTTCAACTCTAGGTGTCTTTCTGCAGCACGCAAGTCTCTGCCAGAGCCCAACAGCCTGTGGGTTGCCACTTGAAGACCAAACGGTGGATGTGAGCAATTAGCAGATCATGTTCAGTAGTCTAGGTACCGAGACAGTGAAGTTTGTGGAATCTAGGGGTTGAGAGATTTAGGACAGGAAGGGTTGCTGAGTGCCTGTGGTTACGAAGGGGCTAAGACCCAGACTGAGAGGTGAGTGAAGGAGCATGAAGCTGAGTGAGGGCTCTAAGGAACACCCCCACTTCATTGCCGGTTTCTGAGGTGTGAGCAGGGTGTGTTCATGCGCGAGTGTGTGTGTGTGTGTGTGTTGTATGTTTAACTTATTTTTGTCTTTGAAGCAAGACTCCTCTCCGCGGCTGCCCTCAAGCTTGCTATGTAGCTGCAAGCAGGGCCTTGGAGATGCCGTGCCAGTGTGCTCCATCTCCTGTGAAAAGGAGACAGGGGTGGGGAGCAGGGCCAGGCAACTCAGCCCCAGTTAACTCATCCTTAGGCTCTTTGCTGAAGCACAGAAACACCCTGTCGGGAATTTTTCCCACAAGAAACATTCTCTGGCTGGGTGTGGTAACACAGGTCTTTAATTCCAGCACTGTGAAGGCAGAGGCAGGCAGATCTCTGTGAGTTCCGGGATAGCCTGGTCTACATAGCAAGTTCCAGACTAGTCAGAGCTGCGTTGTAAGACCTTGTCTCAAAACAGAAACAAAACTCAGCAACATCATCTGCCTGACAAAGATGGGTCTGGAAACTGTTCGGCTGCCAGAGAGCACCTGTGCTTAAATAGAGACCTCTTTAGCAGAAGCTGAGGGCTGGCTGAAGGGCGGGTAGTAGAACATGAAACGCAGCAGGGCCCAGCGGAGTACCTCTACACAGAGGCCCATCTTGTCTTCGGCTGTCAATTTGAGGACATAATTCAGTTTTCGGTCTCCCCAAAGGAGAACTTGTGGGATGACCTGCCATGCGCTATGGGCTAGAACCACTGACCCAGGTCCAGTAAGTAAGAAAAATCGCCACATGGATCCAAAACTGCCGACCCTGGTGGTCCCAGAAGAGACAGCATCTGGGCTGGGTTCTGATGGGCACTTTCAGGGCTGGGGTGTAGCTCAGTGGTGAAATACTTGTCTATCATGATGAAGCAATGGGTGTGATCCCACACAGACCAGGTAACTACACCTGTAATCCCAGCACTCAGGAGGTGGAGGCAGAAGAGGGTCAGAATCTCAGAGCCATCCTTAGCTATATAGGGAGTTTGAGACTAGCCTTAGCTATTCTCTAAAAGGAAAGCAGACATGCCTTTCCAAAGCAAGTTCTCCTAAGAGACTCTTCTTGGTCTCTGAGGCATCTAAAGGCCCTTCTTGGCCACTTTAGGGGTGTTTGTTTGTTTGTTTGTTTGTTTCAAGACAGGGTTTCTCTGTGTAACAGCCCTGGCTGCCCTAGAACTTATTTGTAGAACAGGCTGGCCTCAAACTCAAGGAGATCAGTCT